AATGTGACTTTTTATCTCATAATAATGACTTGGTATCTTATAAGTTTTTTCTTAAATGGGCTTCTATAAATAGCATGGTTTAAAAAACACTAGATGTGATCATGTGTAGGTTATTCTAGCAGAGTTTTTCAGCAGGGTCTTGTAGTTTTTCGTTTGTGAGCTTGTAACTGGAGGGAATGGAATCATTCTTGCAGTGTTAGTCATCAAGTGCCTCAGAGACAAAACAGACTCAGTCCCCCCTCATTTAGACCCCTTCCATCCATTTTTTTCATCTGTTTCTTTCTGTCCTTTTTAAGGAAATATGCAAGCGTCGCCAAGAAACATGGAAAAAACACAAGCCCGTCGCTGTTTCACAAGCACCGCCTGATTATACTGCAGAAGTTCAGCTGAAATGATGTTTCCTCTCTGCTAACTCCACAGTGGATGTCACTTCACACAGGTGCTTGACATCAGAATTTTTCCAGAGAAACATTTCAGCTAATCAGACAAGTGTCCAGAGTCCAAACTGTCTCACAAAGCTGTGTTCATCAATCTCGCTTCAGTTCTGCACATTTGTAACATCTGGCTAATCTAATGCACGTTTAAAATGGCAAATTGAATACCCTGCATGCCAATTTGCATACCAAACAGTAATGCAAGATAAATCATATTACATAAAACAGGATGCCCAAAGTCTTAACGGTCCTAGACGTGAGCATTATGAATGCATGTTAATATTTCCTTCTAAAAAAATATATTTTTACATTTTCATTAAGAATTTTTGCCTTGTGACTTTTTACATTTTCTCCACTTTTTACTACGATATAGCAATGACAATATTAATTGATATGATTTTTTAAGTTAAAATGAAGATAAATTCAGTACAATAAAACACTGTAAAAAAAATTTCATGATGTGTAATCACAACATTTTTTCTTTTGTCAAATCAACTTAAATTTATATAGTTCAGATAACATAATATTTTGCGTTTCTGATGATTAAATCAATCTCCTTCATTGGATTAACTCACTTTTTCCATTTCAATGAACTTAAAATTTTAAGGCAGCCAGGTTACTTAATTTTTTAAGTTAAAGCAACAATATTTTTTTTCAGTATGTGAAAACTAAACTATCGTACATTATTGAGAATTTGGAAATAAATGTGTTTAACTATCAGGAAGATAATTATTGACGGTTCATTATTTATTTAGGTAGAGAAAAGTAGCACAGCTGAATCTGTTAGAAACGTAGATAAACATTTTCTCAACACTGACATACCTTAACATAAATCTGTTCTAAACATTATGATAACGTTTTTTTTCTGAAGGTTCCCTTAAATATTTATTTATTTATTTTTTGCTTGGTATACAAACATTAGCTTAAGGAAACATTGCATTTTATCATTTTACAAACATTATGAGAACGTAACGTAACTAAAAAAAAGTTAGACGAACATCCAACCAAAACGAAAAAAAAATGTTTAAATAATGTTTTTTGCTAACGTTTCAAGAACATTATTAAAGGCCAGATAATGTTGAACAAACATTCTATTATAGTTATAGTTCATAACTTCGAGAGAACCTTGCCAAAACGTCAGCTAAAATTCTGAGAGCATTTCCTATTAGCTGGGTTACGGAAAGGTACTTTCAGATTATTTTCAAAGTATGCTTCAATGCATAATCATGCAACAGCTAAAATGTGTTGCAAGCTGGACAAGCAGAATTGAGAAACGTTCACAGGATACAATGTCAGTATACTGAAAAACAGGGTGATCCAGATCATTTCCAGACAGACATTCAATTAAGAAATAGGAGGTAAAGTCATAATTGCTTTCATCTGCTAGTGGTCTGGACTGAAATATGTAGAGCTCAAGGTCAAATGTGATTGAAACAGTGTTTGCACTTGATGTACATTGCATGTATGCAACTATGCATGCATACAAACATGCCACACACGAAGTGTATAAAAGTGAAAGGGTAGCAAAAAAAGATGAAATCCAGCTGGAAGTTGTTGTTATTCTTTTGTGTGTTTAAGTGGGTGGGTTTGAGAGACAAAGAGAGAGAGAGAGAGAGCACATGCACACATCTGTGAGTTTATGAGTGTGGCCATAGAAGTGTGTTTGTGTGTGTGAATCGAGTGTGTTACTGTTTGATACTCTGACTTGTTAACAAATAGGAGATACCTCAAATCATGCTGCTTCTTGAAAATAGGACTCATTTTATTTATTTTTTTTATCCGATTGATTTACACTGAAGGCAGGAATCAAGCTATAGGAACTTTTGACATCCCAGCAGCCATGAGCATTACGGTGGTGAGATTTGCATGTGCAAGTAGCACTCCCCGTTTCTTCAGAAAATAAAAATCATGTTTTATAGACCATTAGTTTCCATCTCTCTTCCTCCGGCATAAAGAGCTTTCTGTGCTGCTTTATTTTACTTTTGTAACCTGGGTCAAAGGGGATATTTGTGCAAGTGATATGAAATTCTGTGGAACTTTGGAAAGGATGTGGAAGATCTTCTTTTCTTTCTCTTTTCTCTCTCACTCTCTTGTTCGCCTTTCTCTCTCCACACAGGGGAAATCCCAAATCCAGTCAGCCCCTTCTCTCTACCCAGCTGTACAGGACACATGGCAGACGATCAGTAATTTCCTCTTCTCATGTGGCATCACATGAATGTATGCTTTTGAGGATTATAGTTTTGTGTGCTTATTTTTTGTATTATGAGCCATTCTGTGTTTACACACATTGAGCAGGAGTGAGTTATTTACTGAGTGTGCACTTACTCATGTTTATGGGAAAGTTTACTGGAATATGAATGTTTATGTAGATATCTTTTGGTGTACAGTATTTGACTCACTGGACTGTATGGCACACACTCTGTCAGATGTCTACAATTGGAAATACCTTCTTATGCTTGGCTAAATTGACTAAGGAAATGACCACGGCTGTAACCATGGTCACAGAATGACTGAAAAAAAAAAACTGAAAAAAAAAAGCTCATGAAGCCTCTCAAGAGCATGTCCAAGTCATATTTCTCCCTAAAATAACAAAAAAAAGTTAAAAAAAAAAGTATATCTTGCATTAATGTAAATTAAGCCCATTTTATGAACATTAAAATTGTTGCCATTCTGCCATTTTTTCATTATACATTCATTATTTTGATGTGGCAATTTCCTTACTGTAATGCAAAATCATCTCATTCTCATTACTGTATTATGAAAAATTGTGATATATATTTCACATAATCATTCACGTTTTCAAGTTAACTTTCACGTTAAAGGTATGGTATGTATTTTTCGGAGAAGCTAGCAATAGCGAGCTAGCTTTGAAAGCATAAGATCCCACTCTCCTTTCAGAGTGTCTTCAAAGCTATGCCTCATCCAAAACACATGAACTCGCACAGCCAGAGCAAACAAAAGCGTAGTGAGAGGCACCATTAATCAACTCATGTCTCAAAGCACATAACAGTACAATAATAATGAACATAAACAACTTAAAGAGCTCTTGTACTATCTGACTGAGCAGATTAGTGTTGATAGTGTTGCCATTGAAACGCATTTTAGTCACGAACCACTCCGAGTATAACGGTACGACTTTCTATTTCTTCCAAATGTTATGGTGTGAATGCAGCATAAACTAATTGTTTTGGTTGCAGTAGGAACTATGGCTGCTGTTTTGGTTGTGCGGTGCTCGGTGACTGGCGTCTGTCTAATGCCTGGTTCAGATTACACGATTTTTTTTGTCTGTTACAATATATAGTCACTGTGTCAGATTACGCGATTTTGACTCCTAAAATCTTGTGTCATTGACAAGACACATGTCAGACTACACGTTGCTTCCTGACCAGTCATCGCATGCCGTCCTTAATGGCGCGCGTGATATCATCGAGTAGGCGAAACTAGTAGCGAGTGACTTCCGGAAACGAACGTAAACAAACAATGGATGAAGCGGTGAGTGTTGTATGGGCTCTATGCACGGCGTTATTTCCGGTGAAGCATTAGGGATGCTCGATAACTTCCGCCGATCGTAGAGTCCAATGCAATACCGATAATTTATATTGAATTTTATACTCCATGGTTATACTAATGAAACGTTAGTCACAAAAACAGATAAAACAGACACCCCTCGTTGTGTTTATGCTTCTTTTTAAAATTATATTAAATAAACATAACTATATATAAAATTACATCTAAACGTATGTACGTTTCGTTTCAAAGACGGGAGGACAGTAATATTAAAGACTCTGCCATAATCCCGTTTTCTCCGGTTTTCCTCCGCTTTAATCTACACAACCGGAAATGGACGAGCATCCTTACGTCAAATGCGGAACTTATGCGTGCATATAGCCCATTGGCTGTCCTGTGTTCAGAAAAAAAAAGAGTAAAAAAAAGAAAGAAAACCCGACACGTTCCTGGATTGGTCGAAGAGGACAGTATGGGCTGTCAATCCTCCAAAGAGAACTTGAGGTAAAATATTGTTTTCTTATATATTTTTACTTTTAGTTTTGTTAGCACCATCATCTCTCTTTCGTTTCGCCATATTTGAAAGTTGTGTACGCACGGAAAAGCTTGTGCTCCTATTGGTCAACCTCATATGTGAGGGAACTGTCGTGGACGAAAAAAAAATTAAACATGCTAGCTTTTTGTCGTGATGTCGTGAAGCATCGCAGTCGCAGACGCGACGTTGTCGCCCACGCCCACTATGACACACTATATACTAGTGCAAAATGCCCGTGCAAAATAATTTAACAAACGAATAAGCGTGACGATTCAGGGAGCAAATCTGCTTTCTTCGTCCCTCAGGCTACTATTCTAAATCTTAAATATATATATATATATAATTCAATGAGATGTGCAGGTGATCCACACAAACCCCTCATCTTATCACCAGATATGTATCCAAACTCATATTAGACAGTATGTCCAAAATCGTGAGGAGTGGGAGTGTAGTGCATCAGTGTGGATGCACAGCGCCGCCACGCGGACAGACTAGGCAATGCACAGATGCTCGGTCCTCTAGCGTTGATGAAGGAGGGACCAGACTTCTGTTCAAGCTGGGAGAAGCGCAGAGGGAATTTCTCCTACAGCTTGGCTTCTCACTCACTCCCTTATTTTGGACTTATTTCTGATTTCTGCTTTACCCAGTTCGGAATGTATGCTTGACAACCCTAAACAAAAATCAGCACTCGAAAAGTTCTCCAGATTTTCTGATCTTTGGTGGGTAAGTGAAGACTAACTTTTCTGTAACTTTGACATTGCGTTTCTGTCTCTTATGAGTGGAAGTAATGCTCAGGCACTTATGCTATCACTTTGTTGCACATTGTTCAGTTAGATTCAGTGCACTGTAAATTCTCGCATCAATTTTCTATGGTTCTTATATTTGCTGAAAAACAATTTAGTGCATGCTGTATTATTAATTCCATAACTCCGTGTGTGTTGCATACGCTTATTCAAGTTATTGAATGTCGTAGATTGTCCTAGATAACAAATGTTTGCTGTGATTGTATTTGATTGATTTTAAAACGTATTTTAGATGATGGGAGGACGCATGTGTTTTATGACTAGCCATACTTTCACATTTGTTTCATATTGTCAAGTGAAGTGGGCCTGAAATACCTGAATTTATGGTGTAATCAGTATGATCAACAAACATAGGCTACCTTAAAAAACAAATGTAAATGTAATGCATTTGCAATATGAATCGTAAATAGCAAATTTACAATACTTGATAGTCCATGTCATAATCACCTGTGCTATTTGGATGTAAGTTGTGGCAAGGTGCCATATTTCTGTTTTGTTGCCTATTTTATTTTAAACCGTGCTCATTTGAACACATGTGTAGGCCTAGAAGATGAGATAATGGTTTCAAATAAAATAACTCTTTCATCTGAGACAAAAGTTGTCTTACTTCAGGGACAATTTGGGGATTTGAAAGTCATTTTTGTCTTATTTGAGACATTTGATATTTACTGTAACTGTACAATTGTTTGGATCGATTAATTCCTATTGATATCTGACATACAGATGAAAATCCACCCCAGAAATCTATATAAGATTTATATTTTTATGTAATATTTATGCAGTAATTGCAAAGACTGCGATTGGTCCGTTTTTTTCAGTGCAGAGAAAAGTAACAGGCGTCTGTTTGAAGCTTCAGCAGCCTGGACAATAATTCACACACAAATGACACTGAGAAACTTTATTAACCGTTCTATTGAAAATACACAGTAAAAAGCTCAAATAACCTTGGATAAATATTATTGAGTCTATGGAGACAATTAGAAACAACTTCCGGTTGCATAAGCCACGCCCTTATTTTAAGCTTAAGCTAACAGTGCCCGCCCACTGGAAGTATTTTTCCCATGGTCATTTCATTTTTAAGATTTTATTTTTGGAATTGTTTGACTTAATTGAGGGGCTGTTTACTCGACACCGTTTTCAACTAAAAACGGAAAACTTTTTATGTGTTTTTGGCCTTTCATTTAAATGACAATGGCCTGAAATTGTCAGAAAATGCTAACTTTTGAAAACGGGATTCTATGTGCAGGTTTTAAACGATACCATTATTGTATCCAGGTAAACTACAAAAACGCAAATTTGTGAAAGTCTATAGGTCTATAGGCTCGGAGGTTTTCTTTACAAAGTGACATCGCCACCTACTGGCTTGGCAGCAGAATACAGTGTTTTTAATAGTTTATAATATAGTTATAAGGTATATGAACCAAACCAACCAGCTACGAGGTGAATCACAAATTTGATTTGAAGCAGCAACAACAAAAAAATCTGACAAAAACACCAAAGATACAAGATTGAGCATGGCTTTAATAAGAGAAAGAAATACACAATATAGAAATATACAACTATTGATTTAAAGATACATGAAACAATATATTTTTATGTCTATATTGCAAAATATGCATATCAAAAATATACTAAAAGCTATTTGAAGACACTACCATGTTTTGTTCTTCTAATCTACATTATATTACACACAGTCCTACCAGTCCTAAGATTTTAAATGACTAAACTAGTCACTAAATAAGTTATATAATGGTTGTCTTATTCGTCAAGCATGTAAACTCACAACTTTATGGGAGTTGTAGTCATTATTTAGGAATTTGTTTGCAATTTCTATTTTAAAATTGAGGTAGGACTGTGTATAATATATGTTGTAGAACAAAACATGAAAGTCTCTTTAGGTAATATTAGCCCATGACCCTTATTTTACTCATAAAATAAAACTCAAAATGACTCAAAATGGTAATTATCTTCTAGGTTTTAGGACTACAAACTGAACAGCTGTAATGCCACATTACAACATTCAGAAACATGTAAAAGCTCTTATTCTAAAGACAGTTGATTTTTAGTTAATACATATTGTAAGCAAATAAACTACCTTAGCTAATTTTCAAAGTGAATTTTCTGAATTGAATTGAATTTATGGAAGTAGGTAATAATAATAAATTCGTAAAGTTTCAATGTGTGTCATTTTTAATAAGGAAAAGGAAAGTTTGTCAAGACAAACTGTGTATGTTGTGGAAGAACACTTCATTTCCCAGAATGCCATTGCCTCTTGAGTTTCCTCCTGTCTTTCAAATTTTTAATGGGTGTGTCCAACTCATGTTTCCATTTGCCACCTAACTCTGTTTGAGCATTTTCATGGGCACTTCTATAACATATGTGACACAAATCCAATTATATATTTTTAAATATTCTTAAGAATTTCTTAATAAATTCAATATTGTTCATTTGGTGTTCCAGTTTAGCTGTTTGTATGGCTGAAACTGAAATATAATTTATAAAATGTATGTAAATTTATATAGATTGTTAGTTCATAATTTCATGAATGTGCATCAGAGTACTTTCATTTAAAGTGGTAAAACGGTCATATTCCCCAATTTATGGCACTGCAGAAACATATTTTGCTCTCTTTATAAATGTGTGTTTAGGAAGGAGAATGAGGATGATGAGACTATCGATCCTCCTCCTCTTGTTTGTGGGCGTTCACACACAGGGCCAGACTCCAGTTGGCTCTTCTTGCACAAGTGAGTAAATGCTTGCTTTAGTAAACAGATTAATCTGCTTTATTATAATATGAATGTATTATTTCATTGCTCATTTCACAATTGTTTTATTATTTATTTATTTATTTATTTATTTATTTTATTATTATTTATTTATTTAAGTTGAATTTGAAACAACAACAAAAACGTTATGCTCAAATGATCCAGAATCATGCAGCTCTAACAGAAATATTATTATTAAAGTATAACAGGGTAACATTTTATTTTACGTCCCCCAAACAACTGCGTAAGTAAACCGAAATTACGGTGTACGGTCGGTTCTGTAATTATAGTGTACCTCCGTGTAGGTATAAGGGAACAATATGTTAAATTTTGGGTAATAAGGGATAACAAGCAGATACAACCTAGTTACAGGGTAAGTGTAACTCCTGTGGGCTGTAAAAAACGCTTCTTACTATGTAGCAATATGAAACAACAATATTTGCACAGTAATTACAGAGAAAGGTACTCTTATTAAGAAAAAAAAAACAAAACAAAAAAACTTCTTAATTCTAGTTGTAAATTAAAATCATAGCCGAAACTATTTTTTGACTTAACATTAAGTAATCAAGTAAGACAAGCCAATAAGTTCAATAAATTACATACAAGCCATATATATATATATATATATATATATATATATATATTAGGGCTGTGAAACGATTAATTGTGATTAATCGCATCCAAAATAAAAGTTTGTGTTTACATAATATATGTGTGTAGCGTGTATAATTTTTTTGTATATATAAATACACACACATGCTTGTATATACTTTATATATATTTATACAAAATTAATATTATACATAAATATGAATATTTGATATATTAATAACACATTTTTCTTAAATATATATACATGCATATGTGTGTATTTATATATACAAAATAATTATACACAGTAGTACACACACATATAAATTATTATGTAAACACAAACTTTTATTAATCGCGATTAATCGTTTCACAGCCCTATATATATATATATATATATATATATATATATATATATATATATACGTTTAATTTTCAACCCACAGATGTCAAAATTACCCTGTAAAATTGCACAAGAACATATTTTGACAGAAATGTGATGATTACTTTTATATACAACAGATGTACAATTTTTGCCTGGAATATATTAAAGGAGCAATGTGTGACTTTTAGCGACATCTAGTGGTTCGGTTGCGAGTTTGCACCAGGTTTGCACTAAGGGCTCAGCCCACTGCTCACCCCTCCCTTTCGAAGAAGCTACGGTTGCTAAAACGGGACAAACATCTCGTCGGCTGAGACAGCAGAGAATAGCCAGAGTAAGCCAAGAGTGTGTAACATTGTCACTGTTTCTGTACCACAGTCCATTATAAACCACATCATGAATACTGTCTGTTTACAAAGCCATAGTCAGGTGAGGATCAAGGGTTTTAATATATAATTTAATAAAATAATAATCAGCTGATTGTCTCACAAACGTAACCAGCAGCACATTTCTCCCCACATACTGTAGCAAACACACAATACAGCGAGGGAGCAGCTATATATTTTTTCTAACAGGGTAGTAATAGTTTAGCTGGCTAATATGAGCTGTTACTGTGGCTGAGCTGGGACGCGTCTGCATGAGTCCAAAGGTCGGAAGTGCGCGCGCTCACGGCCGCATTAACCATAGGGCTAGGCGGGGCTTAAGCCCCAGGGCCCAAGCAAGGAGGGGGCCCGTGATTGGCTGTGGACTCGTGGAGCAGATACTGCAAGCCATCTGATTACCAAAGCCTTACCACGCAACGTCCCCCACAAATTATCCCTGTTATTTAGTTGCACTTTGCCTTATATTCCATGCATTATCATGGAATCATTATCATTAATACATCGCAAAGACCCGCCTTTTTTAGGTACTATGTGACGGGCCACGAGTCAGGCGGCTCTCACGAGTCACGCACATCATGTTCTCATGCACTCACGCAGTGAAAAATACTTCGCGGGGCAAAGACTAACGTTACACCGAGTGATTACGAGAGAGAGTTCAGAGCAGCTTACTGTTGGTATGAAACAAAGTCTCAACTTTCAAATATTGTAATTTAAGTAATTTAAACATTACCGTTTTCAAGTTCATGTCCACCGACTGACAGCTTTGTTGTCGGACAAAGTTGCGTATTCGGCGTTATGATTGGCCAGGCCACCTGTCAATCAAACCCCCGTAGGCATGCAGGGCCAACGGCTCTGAGCAGGGCATGGTAAATTGAAACGTCAGGTTTTAATTTGATATGACAAATATATTTATTCTATATTTAACTTGTGAACGACCGACCTGCTGCTGCACGTAGGCCTATAGATGATTGCTGCCTGCGCCTTATTAGAATAGGCAGTGGCGCAAAAAGTGGGTATGCGCTATATGCGCTACAGCGTCATCATCGACCCCACAAACTTTCGGTAAGTTTGAATATTAACTTGATGGATGTATAATTTTGCTTTTTGTGTTTGATTAAACTCTATATTCGCCTAAAGGACTGGCGATAATATATCCGGTAGAAATATTTAAATTTTGCTGCGCCATCATGATGTAAGTTTATCATTTAAACGCGTTTTTAAACGTTGTGGTTTGGATACAAATTATTTCAAACTACTCAGGCACAGTGAGCAGCGGGAGAATTCATTTTGTAAATGCTGGTTTTGAGACCAAGGTGAACCAGACTGTGGTGAACTTGAGACGGTTTTGCACAGCGCACTTGAATCCGACTCTGAGGTCTCAATGTGACAGACGCTGCTAATAAAGCTGCTGTCGCCATGTGTGTCAATAATGTTCAGAAAGAAAGTCATTTACTGCATTTGACTGAATTACTTTTGTAAAATTAACAAGAATGAATGTTGAATTTATAGTGAAAACCATGTATTGTATATTTGATTACTTTATATAATATTATTCAGTGCTTTAAGTTTTTCATAGGTCGATTTATTGTGCCTTTGTTCTATTTTAATTTGTGACTCTTGTCATCATAAGCTTGAGATTATTTTCTTAAGCTACTATTATTTTTTGGTGATATTGAAATTGGTCACAATAATTATGAAATTTTAGTCAATACATTTTGATATGATAAAAAAAATCGTGTTAAAAGTAACATAACTTAACTGTGAAGTATATCATAGATGGATAAATAATAATATCGTATAACGTATATGACTCGTATAATAATATAACATTTAGTTGGTGACCTAAAGTGGTGGGGGGGCCCTGCAGTAACTCATAGCCCCGGGGCCCAGTGAGCTCTTAATACGGCCCTGCGCGCGCTGTTACAATCATGTCATCTCCGCATCCCATAGATACTATTTACTACACACAATAGGCTTTTTTTCTCTGATTTTTAAAATTCTTCGCGATCGACTTTAGTGATAAAAGACTTTAGTAAAAGTCTCTATCGACGGGTTAGTGATTCCTGTAACGTACTGTTTTATGGTCAATGACATGAATACTAATCATCAGCTGTCTCACGAACGTAACAGCACATCTATCCCCAACATAACAAACCCATAACACAGCGAGGGAGAACTAAGTTACATGAAACAATCCCAACTACATATTTTACACCACTCACAAGGGAAAAGTCACTACTCACGGAGTGTATGGCTAGCTTCCAGCTTTCCGCTACTTCTCTTTCAAGGTAGTGATGAAACGCGTTCTGATGCGCTGTTTGTTCGCGTTCGGCTACGGTAGGAATATGACGTCACAACATGGCGACCTTCATAGAAGGGGATTCCCGCGGTTATGGAGCTATTAATGTCTCATTCTAAGGTAATAAAAACATTACGGCTAATTAAGTAAGTTCTTTATACACCACTGAAAACATAGTTATGGATGTCATATCGCATTTCTGTTAATAGATACTCAACTTTGTTACACATTGCACCTTTAACAGAATAGGTACCTGTTTTAAAATTAAATAAAAAAATGTAAAACTTAAAAATTTAGTTTTAAAATAATTACGTTATAAATAATTTGCTTGTATATCTGCTTGTTACCCCTTTATTAACATATTGTTCCCTTATATACCTACACGGAATTACACTATAATTAGTGAAACGTAGACCGTAATTTCAGTTTACTTACACAGTTGTTTGCGGGTCGTAAAATAAAGTGTTACCTATAACAGTTATTTAATATTATTTTACATTTTTTTAGTGACTTGTGTTGCTGTGTGTGTGTTCTGTCCCTCCAGAAACAATCGAATGCCCAATCGACCTGTACTTTGTGATCGACACATCCGAGACCATAGCTCTGCAGGAGAACCCACCTGGCAGCTTGGTAGAAAGCATCAAAGAGTTTACCGAAGTCTTTGCTAGGAAACTAGAAGACGTTAACTACAAAGGTTCAGTTCAGATCAGCTGGTCTGTAGGAGGCCTTCACTTCTCCCAGCGGCAGGAGATCATCAGCACCATCACCAATAAGAATGAATTCATCAGGTTGCTCAAACCAATCAAATACCTGGGCAAGGGCACTTATATTGACTGCGCCATCACCAACATGACCCAACAACTCGTCCGCTTTCCATCCAAACCCAATGCCAAGCGCTTTGCGGTGGTCATCACAGACGGTCACGTGACAGGAAGCCCATGCGGCGGGATTAAAGTGGCGTCGGAACGAGCGCGCGATGAGTTCATTAAGATCTTCGCCGTCGCGTCGTCCAGGAACCTGGAGGAGACGGGACTCAGGGAGATCGCTAACTCGCCGGCAGGAGTTTATCGTGATAAATTCATGGCGGTCGATCTCACAGGAGTGCGGCCTCTCTTAGTGACATCAACAATCGACCGCATTTATAACACAATGGTAATGCAATGCGTTTCAGTGGCATACTGATCTGAAATGATGATACCGGATCATTTTCAGATGCATTTAATGATAACATGAGATTATTTAATATTTTAATAATCTTCTTTCTCTCTTACAGCTTCATCTGGCTTATCAAGAGGTGAGATCCCTATCAGTGTATTGATTTAAAACAAAAACAAATATAGAGTGGCAACATGTTGCATCACTTTCCTCAGACGGGTTCCACAGAGGAACCATTTTTGAGTTCCCCGAAGAACCTTTCAGAGAACAGTTCTTCCAAGAACCATTTTTTTTTCAAGCATTTGATAGTCTACTAACCTTTTTAGTGCAATGGAGAGATTCCATGAATGTTAAAGGCTCTTAATGGTGCCACCAATGCCAATAAAGAACATTTATTTTTAAAGTCCCCGTGAACCGGAAGTTGCAAACGAGAGAAACGGAATACTAAATGAGGCAAAATAGTGGGCGTGGCTTTTTTTTCCAACTAGCACCTGATTGGATCTAGAAAAATGGGTGTTTCATTCTGAAATGGAGGATGACGCAAGTTTACAACGCTGTCAATCAATGCTCGCTCGGCGCTCGCAGATACACAGTAGCTGTCAGTTGGAGGGGCATGGTTGTGGTTGTTAAGGACACACCCAAACCGTAAAGCCTACGTCATCGGGCAAGGTCCTCCAATGCAGAGGGGAGGGGCATTTTCAAAATTTGAATAAAGATTACGAAGCCAACATTTTTTTTTGTGTGGATTGACTTGCATGTATGAATTGTTCACCACAAAACGATCAATTTAGGCAAACAAATTAAGTATGGTCAATTTTGATTTCATTGGCTGATAGGTAGGGTTGGGTATCGTTTGAATTTGAACGATTCTGATTCCGATTCCGGTTCCCAACGATTCTCGATTCCGATTCTTTTAAGAGGCAGGGTCAAAAAAGTTTAGCTAACCTTGCTAACCAACGGTCTTTCTGAAGGAAATACTCCTTCTGTCACAAATACTCCTTTTGTCACAAATTTTGCATTTTGCCGAGATTTCGTTATTTTTAGAAAAGTGAAGCCACACTTTGGACCGCCGACGTAAGCTACTCATGTTCGACTCGCGCGGTTATGCCAACACTTCCGGTAGACTATCGAAACTAGGAATCGAAATTTTAACTTTTGAACGATTCCGGGAAAAATTAAAATCGATACTCGATTCTCGATACCCAACCCTACTGATAGGTCTACGGAGGTTTTCTGTCATTCTCCCAGAAAATTGAATAGAGCATCTGGACTTTATTATCCTCCTCATAGCTTTATCTAATAAGTGACTAAACATCTTAAAAAAAAAAAAATTGATTCTTATGATTTCTAACTCAAATTCATCATCATTTTCCAGTGCTACTCTACAAAATGTTTGGAGACTACAGGCCCTCCAGGTCCAGCAGGACACAGGGGACAGAAAGTGAGTATCTCATAAAACTATAGTAAAAAAGACTAAAATATTAAGTAAACAGTTAAATTCACTGTTGATCTGGTGCCTTGATTATTACAGGGAGCTAAAGGAGATAACGGCGACCCTGGCCCTAAAGGTCAAAGTGGACGTCCTGTGAGTACAAACCATTTCTCATGAAAGCATTTGGTAAAATACTAGTCCACTTCAATCAAAGACTATACTAAACCTAATATGTATTCAGTGAATGCTATTTGTATTAACTCATGTCAAAACCTACAGGGAGATCCAGGTATTGAGGGACCCATTGGACATCCTGGACCTAAAGTAAGTTCTTCACAATTCTTGTGTGCAATGAAATGTCATAGAGCAAAATATATTCGGTCAGACCAATTAATCTGCACATATTTGGCTATTTTGACATTATTGGCATTAACTGATAACCATATTTGCTTCGCTGATAACCAGAAAGGACGGAAGGCTCAGACAGCCTTGACAATATATCAAAACATTCAGCATTTCATTTCAAATGTTGTGTACATCTAATTAGCTGTCATTCAAATATATCATGTATATATCAGCATTATCGCACTTGAAATGTCCAGTTTACTAGTTGTAACCATTCTACTGTTTCTTTTCTCTTTTAGGGAGAGCCTGGTATCAGAGGAGAGAAGGTATAGTTTCTCAAAGTTATCTGTTAGATCTGATAAATATGGTTGGCATATTGATTGTGTACCAAAAACTTACTTTTGTTTATTTTATGGAAATGATCTTTTTTTAGGGAGAAATTGGAACACAAGGGAAAAAGGTAAGTTTCTCATAACATTTACTTATCACTTTATATTTTCTCTGAATAGAGGGAATGCATTGATGTCACTTTCCCGCCGGAACAACCCCCCTCAGCCTGACTGAGTGGCAAAAGATCTGCTGCGTGACTGGATTTAATAGGGAAAACTGAGAAAATGCGACTTAAACGAACAATTTTATCAGTTTAAACTAAATGTTGGACTCAATATAGTGATCCATGGGTATTGACATGCAGCCAGGAATCGTGTTGCCTGACATTTATGTTTGCCTGGTTTTGACACCGTGGAAATAAAACCAATATAAACCTAAACATAAAGCAAATTTGCATGAACGCTTTATATAAATAAATACAATATAGGTAGGTCTAAATCCGGGTGATCACTTATATCAGTGTTATATAAAGCCTATATATATCATCATAGCGTCCACCCCTAAAACTTTATAGTTTTTTTTGGTCAGTGTTTATTATAAAACATCCAATAATACAGAATATGCAGTGATAGATATTTAATTGATAAGTTGTTAATATGGGTATGGTTTTACACCTAAAATCAGCATATTGACACAAAATGATAACTTCAAATCCACCTTTCGCTGACTGGAGTCCAGTTGTTTCTGTGAATTGTAGCGATCCATTTGCTCCTCTTTCTATAGCGGTCTGTAAAAATATACCTCCGATTTTTATCAAATCTAGTTGTACAGTCAATCGCAAAGCTCTTTCCCACTTTACATGTGTTGTGTTTGATTTCCGCGGCATTTCCGCTGAAAACAAACACAGCCGCTCAGTCTTTTTGCCACTCACTGTGAGTAACTGCAGGCACTCCGGCCGACGGTGACGTCACACGCATTCCCTCTGTACAGAAACTTCCATGCAGGATGTATTTTGAAATATTTACAGAATATTTTTATTCTAATAGGGTGTTGCAGGAATATCTGGCCGCAATGGAACGGATGGGCAGAAGGTTAGTTATGGTAAATGTGGGGTATACTCAGTGGCGTAGCGGATGGGCTCGCACTGCGGATGGGCTCCGCATGTTGTTATATCCACTGTTGACGGGGACGCAATTTCTACTGAGTGGGACCAACCACCAAACCCCGCTCCCCGGGACACGTTTACTACCGGGACCATGGAAAACCATTTCTACCGAAGGGAACCGCAGATTTAAGCCTGCGGATTTGCGCTACGCCACTGGGTAGACTCAAAGTGAAGTTTGGATAACACATCATAAAATATACATAAACATAATAGAAATGCAAATAAAAAAATTAATATATATATGTATTTTTTTTTTACAGGGTAAAATTGGCAGGATTGGCGCTCCTGGCTGCAAAGGTGACCCGGGTGACAAGGTGTGTGAGTCTTTTCTTTTGAATATCTGGTACTTGAGTTATACAAGTCGTTTAATATCAATTAATGAATATGTCTTTCACAGGGTCCTGATGGCTATCCTGGAAGTGTTGGAGAATCTGGTCTTCCAGGGGCTCCGGGTGAAAAGGTACCTGATAAATTACGGATAAAAATAATATTGACATTTAAAAGCCGTTTTAGTTTGAAGCGTGATGGTTTCTCACTTTGTTCTCAGGGGGATCCAGGTCGTCCAGGAAGACCAGGTCCACTTGGCCTGGCTGGAGATCCTGGACCCAAAGTAAGATCTCCTAACCACAGAGATTACACTAAGATTGCCCGTCAAACATTTGGTAATGTATCTCTGACGCCCCCTACAGGGAGAGAGAGGAAGCCCTGGATCGCCTGGAATTCCTGGCCAGAAAGGACCTCCTGTGAATATCTCTTTTGATTAATGTTTTTATTTTAAATCAATTTTGATACAATTTTATAATAATTTTTATTTTGTTTTATAGGGGACAGCTGGAGGACCTGGACCTAAAGGCGACAATGTGAGGAATAGGCTTTTGGACATGTAAAAATTACAGTAGGTTGACCTGTGTCTAAATTGTAATATCTACCATTGCATTTTTAGGGAAGAAGAGGAGAATTTGGACCTAAAGGCAGCACTGGACCTAATGGACCGAAAGGAGACAAGGTCAGTGTTTGGGTTCTCTCAAAATATTGTAAAATAATGTTTAGGAAGTTGCTCTTTTCCCATTGTAAACTCAGATTACATGAGAGGAGGCAATGTTATTTTAATGTAATATTATTTGTAATAATCGTTTGTCAGGGTGAACCAGGTGCCGAGGGACCCAGGGGTCTAGCTGGGGAAGTTGGCAACAAAGGATCCAAGGTAATTCGATAATTTTGTGATTCGGCCGCTTAAGTACTGAAAAAAAAAACCGATTTTTAATCGGTTTTAAGGTGGACATGATTAAAAAATATATTTGTTTTTGCGCTTGTTTCTAACTTCTAGGGTGATAATGGACTTCCAGGACCTAGAGGCCCACCAGGAGCTCCTGGAGAAGCAGGCAGAAATGTAAAAAAAAGAAAATAAAATGTCAAATCATATTTTCCTCACAGTACACATTGACTGAAAGTGTCGGAAACTAAAGGCGGCTGCCTTGTATCACTGCCCAGTCAGCTGAACTTTTTTAGGTAGAATTGGTAATGAACTATCTCCATTATAGGGTTCCCTTGGTGACCCAGGTGATTCTGGCCCTAGAGGTGATCCTGGCCCTCCAGGACCAAAGGTACATCACACACACACAGACCCACACACACACAAAGAAGTCTAATCATATTAAAATGGTAATGTTACAATGCTTGTCTATTATGCTTGTCTATCTATGTCTATTATAAAAACAAAATGTTGCTTCTCTTACCATAGGGTGATACTGGCAGACCTGGATTCAGCTATCCTGGACCAAGAGGACCTACGGTACTGTAATAAGTCAAATTTGTACTAATCTGAAAGTTATTTCAGTTCACAGAGCTTTATATCTCATTAGAGTTTAACATTTTGTATAATAAAAACAGTTTTTCCATGCCATATCAACATTATTTCTGCCATTTATGATATAATATATATTTGTTCTACAGGGTGACAGGGGTGACAAAGGTGCACCTGGACCCAGGGGAAGTAGAGGAGACTGTGGACCAAAGGGCGACCCAGGTATAAAGGGAACTCCAGGAGAGCCGGTAAGAAAACGGCATGAAACGGCAATTGTGTCTTTTCTTCTCTATTGTAACGTATATCCGAGGGAAACGGCTTCTCTAACAAGAACGATGTTGGGTGGGTCTTGATTTTGTCCAATGGGTACTGATTGGATGATTGTGGTTTGCTATTGGTTGTTTTATGTGAGTCACAGGTTGGCCCGCCCTCACACCCTAGTTATTTGGATTACAGATTACGAGGGCACATGGTTTTATTTTATTTTTTAAATAATGATGTGCACGGATAAATCCTATTTTTTTTAACTGCAAGATTCCAATAAACAATTAGAATTGTCTATTTTGATTGATTTCATGGTGACTTTAAAGTCAACAAGAAATTCAATTTCAAAACAAATTTACTTCCTTATTAAATAAATTATTATAAAAATAATAATAATGATAATATTTCTTCATTGTGTTTCAGGGAGAGCCCGGACCCTTTGGAGAGCCTGGACAAAGGGGGCCTAGAGGAGATGGAGGAAGAGATGTAAGCTTCATTTTTAGTGCATATTGATATTTAAAGGATGGAATATTTGATCTATTCAGAGCTTAAATAACAGTAAATGGCAACATCAGTCACTTAAATTGTGTCTATAACAGGGTGACTCTGGACCAGAGGGAGACCCTGGCCTTACTGTAAGCATTAACATTCAGATTTTCTAATTAAATAATACGCACATAATTACTTTAGGGATGAATGTTGAATCCATTTTATCAGGAATGTGATGTGATGAACTACATCAGAGAGACCTGTGGATGCTGTGGTAAGATTCTTATAACATTTCAGTAGAGATGAATGAATAGCTGCGGTATATTTGCTTTGGTCACAAAACTTTCTTGTTCATTTCAGATTGTGAAAAGAGATGTGGTGCCCTGGATATTGTGTTTGTGATTGACAGCTCTGAGAGTGTAGGCTTGACCAACTTCACCCTGGAGAAGAACTTTGTGATCAATACCATCAACAGACTGGGCTCAATAGCAAAAGATCCCAGTTCTGAAACAGGTAAAAAGACATTGTGTTTCTGTTTGTCCTGCATTTTAATAATCTGTTATTAGCTTTTAAAGGGATACTTCACCGTTTTTTTTTTTATATATATTAAACTATGTTATTCCCTTAACTACACTCTCAGAAAAAAAGGTAAAAAAGCTGTCACTGGGGCTGTACCTTTTTAAAAGGTACACTTTTGTACCCAAAGGCTGCATATTGGTACCTTAGTGGTACATATTATTAGCCCCTAAAATGTACATATTAGCACCTGAAATGTACATATTAGCACCTAAAATGTACATATTAGCACCTGATATGTACATATTAGCAACTAAAATGTACATATTAGCACCTAAGATGTACATATTAGCACTTAAAATTTACATATTAGCACCTAAAATTTACATATTAGCACCTGAAATGTACATATCAGTACAATAACATAGTTTAATATGAAAAAACGGTAGAGTATCCCTATAAATACATTTAGTAGCAATGCAGAAGTGGTTAAATGTAATCAAACACACTTTGTATTTGATAATAAGGGACTCGAGTCGGCGTTGTCCAGTACAGTCACAACGGGACATTCCAAGCTATTCGCCTCAACGACTCCAAGATCGATTCTATGTCCGCCTTCAAAGATGCTGTGAAGAAGCTCGAGTGGATCGCTGGGGGAACGTGGACGCCTTCCGCCCTGAAGTTCGCCTACGATGTCCTGATTCGCGACAGCCGTCGTGCGAAGGCTAACGTCACAGTGGTTGTGATCACAGACGGCCGGTATGACCCCCGTGATGACGACAAACTGCTCAATTACCTCTGCACGGACACAAGCATTGACGTGAATGCCATCGGTATCGGTGACATGTTCGACCAGCCGGAAGAGAATGAAAGCTTGAAGTCCATCGCTTGCAGAAAAGATGGAAGGGTCATGGGCATGAGGCGTTTCGCCGATCTGGTCGCAGAGGATTTCATCGATAGGATCGAGAACGTACTCTGCCCAGGTGAGTCTCGTGACCTGGCCTGACTGTACAAAGTTTGTCTGTTTTCATATCTAAGATTATAATAATAGGGCTTTCTTTTCATCACTTTTCTTGTCTTTATTTGGATTAGATCCGGTGATCGTTTGTCCAGATCTTCCATGTAAAAGTGGTAAGTGTTCCTTTCTAATTTGTCCATTCCCAAAAGAGGAAGGCTTGAAAAAAATTCCTTTGAGCGAGTCAGCTAAACGCACAATGATCAGCGCAAAAATTTGCAAACTCACATCAATTGAAACAGCATCTAGAGGGAGCCAGTTGCTACTATAGGAGCTAGGCCCCTAAAACTATTGTTTCAACACTCACTTGCAGATGATGCCCTTGCAGAGGAGTGGAAGGACAGTCCCATCCCAACCACTCTACTAAGCATCTCAGACTTAATGAACAATCTACAAGAGGCCAAACACCCTGATACCTACACCAAGGCTGTAGCTACATTGGCTTACGCAGCCCAGATGGCTAAACAGACCCCTGAACCTGACAAACAGAGATGGACCGATCTGTTCATTGACTCGTTTAGATTGATCTATTCTGAGATGGGAGACCCAAACAAAGCTCTTGGCTTGTGTTAGGAAGCATGAGATTCGGCATTTCCCCTCAAAATTTAATTGGTAGCTTGACTAAATGAATATAGTAGGAAGCACTTGGCCTCGCTGTAGAATTGTGCTTAATAAGGATGGTTAAGTAAAAAGCTAGCTGGTCTATGCATGAATGTAGTTTTTGCGTTAAAAGTAATCGAATGCAGTTGCTAATACTTCTCTTAAAGATGCAAATTTGCAAGAAACTAGCATGTTAGCATCATGGCCAGTTAACAAAAACTACTTTGCTAACCTCTGCTAAAAATAATTCCCTGCTACAAAAATGTGAAATGGCAACCTTTGCCTCTTGACATTGATGCCTGCTGCTCGGTAATAATTGTTTGCATTCAGATTTGCAAATGAAGAGGATAGATGAACAGATTTTTCAACACTTTGCTTGCATAGCATGCTAACATTAGCTTAGCCTAGTTAGCGTAAATCCTCAGGGTTTCTAGGATTTGAAGGGATTTCACATATTTTTCACATAAAAAAGACAATTCTGTCATCATCTACTCAATCTCATGTTGTTCCAAACCGGTGTGACTTTCTTTCTTCCATACAATGAAAACATATAGTGACCAGGGGCTGTAAAGCTCTAGAAAGGAAAATAACACCTCCATATTGTCTTAAAAGTAGTACATGGAAAGGTCATAAAGGTTTGAAATAACATGTAATGATGACAGAATTTTTATTTTTGGTCGATCTATTCATTTAAAGCATCTGTACCTTAATGAACAATTAATTTTGATTCTATATATTCATTTCAGTTTTGCACTTTGCACATTAAGAGTTCAGTAGCTTCTCATAGGTTGGAAGCTTTTTACCGCTGCTTTACCATTGTTGACCTTCAAATGCCCACTATAATGTACACAAATATAATAATTTCTTTTTAAATGTATTAAGTGTATTTCACAAAATAATTGCCCCAAGAGTTAATCTGATTTTTAGGCAACATAAATCTTTAGAGAGTATATAATTCTGAAAGCATGTATGTACTGTACAATGGCAGTTCAGTCATACTTTTTGTAGCCTCCTTATATAAACATTACTGGCTATTTATGTGACATTTATTGCATGATTGATGATTATCTCAGTGATTTTTTTTGGAGGATGGAAATATGTACATCAATGTGAATTAGCCATGTTTCTGAGCTATATGGACTATGCACAATTCAGTGAGAATATTTTTTCAGTCTGCCATTATGGTAAATAATGAGTTTTTTTCTTGGTAATACAATTATGTATATATCAAGTATATATTTATATATATGAAACTGTATATCAGAAATGTGCAATGAAAAAACGGCAAGCTCTCGAACTGCAAGAAATGCAACTTGAATTATTTGTAACAAATAAATATCTTTAGCAATGAAATTATTTCTAGGTTTATTTACTTTTAAATCAACTTTATCTCAATGTAACATTTTATTCTGCACAATTAATGAAACAATCGGTGCATTAAATTCGCATACTGAGTAGGTAAATCATTAAAAAAGTGCATTCTATATAGTATGAATATGGGTAGTATGAATTAAATTTACATAATCATAACAGTTAAGAAATAATTTATATACATCAATCAATTCAAGTAATTACATAAAATAAAAAACATGTGACTTGACAGGAAACATAATACACAAAAAAGGGGGGTAGAAGGTATCGTAGAAGAGTTTTGTTTTTAATCTGGATTTAAAAATAGAGATAGTGATTGAGATACTTCAAATATTGGTGGAAGTTGTAGGTCATTCAGGTACTTTTCGCCTACTTTTTTTCGAATGCTATGTATTTGGACATGCTACTCTGTTACCGTACTGTTTTGATGTCGAATGCTGGGAATGTTTTTTCAATAATTTTTTATTGTTTCAATTCAAGCTTGAAGTACTACCTAAATCCAAAGCATGACATCCTAGATATTAGATAATCATTGCTGTTTTTGTATTTTATAGAGCCAGCCGTAGCCAACTGCATCCAGAGGCCGGTTGATATCATCTTTATGCTGGATGGCTCGGAGCGCATGGGCCAGGAGAATTTCCGCTATGCACGCGAGTTTGTGGAAAATGTCGCTAACCGCCTGACCCTAGCCCGGTCAGATGACGATGTACGTAACGCCAGGGTGGCTCTTCTGCAGTTTGGCGATGAAACCCAACACGAACTGGCCTTCAAACTTACCAACAACTTCACGGTCATCTCTGATGGCCTGGCCAACATGAGGTACCTGGATTCTACTTCCAATGTGGGAAGTGGTATTATCTACGCCGTCGACAACATTGTGGGCTCCCGATTGAATAGACGAAATGCCGAGCTGTCTTTCGTCTTCATCACTGATGGGGTCACCAACAACAAGAACCTGGAGGAAGGCATTAGCTCAATGCGCAGGGTAGAGGGCGTTCCCACAGTGATTGCCATGGGCAGCGATGTCGACAAGGAAATCCTGGCAAAGCTTTCACTAGGAGACCAGACGGCCATTTTCAGGGGTCAGGATTTTGGCCATTTGAACAAAGCCAGCTTTTTTGAGCGTTTCGTGCGGTGGATCTGCTGAGGGGTTGGGTGGGTTTTTATGAAAGGGGGGGATTGGTGTGTCATAGGGTTCAGCACAATGCTTAGAGTAGAACGGATGCATTTTATCCACCCCAGACTAAAACACAGTGTCGGATCTGGGCTGACACTATGTTGCTGTCTGGGACACTAAATCTATGCAGTTTATGCACATATATTGTGGCAAAAGAGGTAAAAATGCACATCATTATTGCTGAAATGACAACTTAGGAAGACCTTAGAAATAATGCAACTCTGTCATCAGCCTGAACTCAATGATGCACCAGTGGAGATGAGTTTTGGGTACAGGAAGACACTGCAGTAAAACCAAGAGGTCAAGTTACTAGTAACACTCCAAAGATTATGTACTGAATGTGTTATTTTGATAAAGTTGCAATTGTAGTTTTTTATTTCTGTATTTTAATGCTGAAAGGCCTCTTGCTTAATTTTTGTTTGATATATTCCTCAACACAAGGTGCTAAACCAGAGTAAGACTGGAGTATTTTTCCTGTATATCGTTATCAGATGCACATTGGTTAAAAAGTGCACTAATTCAGGGGTTCAAGAAGTCGACAAATACACTCTCCACATTCATTCTGTATCACCCCTATGTCTAAAAGCATTGTTACATTTTTAAGCCATTGACTGAAAAAGGGCCTGCAGTTGCTAAAATAAATCTATGCCACCTACCACAACACTTGCATAGGAGTCCAGTGTTTTAGATTAAATATTTGCTTATAGTGAAATATAGAATTTTTCTTCACCTACATTTTAATGTAAAGATTAATTATAAGACTATTAGCACTGCAATCAGTCATTTAATTCCAAGAACCACAATTTGACATGCTGTTGAACACTTGAATGATTATTTCCATAGTTGCTGTCAAACTTAAATTTAAGTACAATAAATCAAGCTGTGGTAACACAACTGAGGCGTCTGTGGTTTTGTTCAAGATATTATGTCAAAGCCACTTTGTTTAAATTCTATTGTTTTATTCTATTCTATCCTGCCCTAGTATATCATCATGCTGTTATATTCCACTATGTTTTTTTCTGTTCAATACTTCTATTCCATTCTTATGTAATAGAAGCTGCATGTAGTGTTTGCCTTTATTGAACAGCATGTGAGGGACTTATCGTCACTAAAAACATGGATTTTTTTTTATTTTTTTGGACTTTGGATTGTTCCATAAAGTCACTGGTTTACAAAGTCAGAACAATGCTTAAAAGCTGCTGTGTGACAGCAATGGAAATGGTTGGATTGTTCGCGGTTTTTAGATCACGCATGTTATCGTGAGACGAGCTTCTACATGAAAACAAATCGCGTTTGGGCCAGAGCGCATACCGTAGGCAGAGTCCAATGTCAATGTCAAAAGGGGAACTTAAACGGATTTTTCCATTTTAAACCCCAAAACATGACATTTAAACTAACGTTTTGGTAGTGCTTAGCACGAGGAATAGGTGTGGATGCTTAGAAAACTCGTAAGAATTTGAATGTTTGTTTAAAATAACTAGAAATCTTCCTGTCCCATCAAGTGGGCGGGCTCTCGTTTGCTGTCAACATTCATGCGGGATGTGCAAAACATGTACAGCTTTAATACAGATCCTTAAAACGACCCGTTTAATGACTTTAAAAAGCCTGTTTGTGTGGTGAGCCTGTGTATTTTAATCGTTTTTATTATGTAGTAACGTTAAATGGATAGACAGCACTGCGGATATGACTTAGCTAATCATAAATCACCAATACAGTAAAGATCTGGTTGCATGCTCTCCTCCTTCTGTAATCGACTGGGAAGAAAAAGGTTAATCAGGAAGATATCTTCTGAAATTCCATGTCAAGATCATAAATGGATCATAATTGTCAACAACAACAGGTGACAGCATGAGGAGCCGCAGTAATTCGGGAGTGAGGTTGGATGGATTTGCCAGACTGGTCCATGAAACAATATTATGTCACCAGGTTTGTTCAAAACATAATTTGAGAATTCTATTCAAGTCTAATTTTTTTTTTATAGTTTCTCTAATGTGTTATACTGTATAATTCCATTCTATTTATATTGTATGAGGCAATTCTATTCTTTTCAGTTTTTGATAAATTCTATTCTGTTTTGTTCTATATTCTGTTTTGCTAATGTATTTAATTTTAAGTTACATTTCTAATCTATATCATACATTATTTAATAGGCTATTCTTGTATATTCTATACTGGGCTGCAGTACTGCATTCTGAACATTCTGTACTGTCCATTATGTAAAACTGAATTATTAAAAGATTGGTAAAGTAACGTTAGTTTGTGAGAAATCAAGTTTAAATAAAAACACAGGCATTTCTAGTTTCTTGTGGTTGAGATCGCTTTGTACCATTGGGGCCATTCTGAGAGGAGGAATCTAAAAATAAATAAGGCTTGAACAAAGGTCACCTTTAAATAACTTGTGAGTGAGGGAAATGTTTGTTTTATCTGTACCATGTGAATTCTTTTAAAAGCAGAGATGATGCTTCATGCATAACATAATAACTATGTTTGAGTATTTATTATATGATTGAACATTTTCACATATATAAATGCTCTGGAATTAGCATGACAAATCAGACTGTATTTAATTATGTGGTGTGAACTAATAAAGATGGGTTTGACCTCTCCATCATATAGAATCCAGTGACAGGTCTACTGCCAGCTAGCGAGCAGCAGAAGGATGCCTGGGTCAGAGATAATGTTTACAGCATCTTAGCAGTGTGGGGGCTTGGCATGGCTTACCGAAAAAATGCAGACCGCGATGAGGACAAAGCCAAAGCCTACGAGCTTGAGCAGGTGACAAAAACTTCAAATCATGACAACCTGTTGCAGCATTAGTAATAGTACTAGATTACCATTGACTACTGCATAACAGTGGAAGCAATCATCCAACCACCTGTTATAGAGCATCTTTGGGATCCCACAAATCTGAATGAAATTCAAACATTTACTCGCCCACATGTCAATTCAAACCTGTATGACTTTCTATCATCTGTGGAACACAAAATATATATAAATATAATATAATATATATAATATAATATAAAATATATATATATATGAAGAGTTCAGATGCAAAAGCCTCTAAATACCATTTGAAATTTTCTTCTTTAATGATGATTTTTATCAAACTTGTATATTTAAGTTCAGTAATTTCACTTAAATAACAATAAATAGGTAATTATCATTGCCATTTAAGTGAAATTACTGAACTTAAATATACAAGTTTGGTAAAAATCATCATTAAAGAGGAAAATTTCAAATGGCATTTAGAGGCTTTTGCATCTGAACTCTTCATTCATATATATATATATATATATGTATGTAAATTGTCTTGCAATTTTGTGCTGCTCATTCCTTCCAGATAAAGTCACTACTTGCATTATTAATAACGTTTTATTTTTCAGAGTGTGGTTAAGCTAATGCAGGGGCTGCTGCAGTGTATGATGAGACAGGTATGGCATTTAACTCTGTGGGCTTACTCATTTGTTATTCTAAACCCATTGATTTGAGCTAGTTTTTATTCTTTATTTTATACATTAGTTGATTGCTTTTCTGCACACATATGAACACACACGTCTCTGGCCTAGCTAAGCACGTGCATATTACGGCAGGTGGATAAGGTAGAGAAGTTCAAACACACACAGAGCACAAAGGACTGCCTGCATGCCAAATATCACACACCCACCTGTGCCACAGTGGTTGGAGATGATCAGTGGGGGCACCTGCAGGTCGATGCCACCTCACTGTACCTGCTCATCCTGGCTCAGATGACCGCCGCAGGTGAGAACAACAATTGATCCTTAAAAAGAACGATTTTGAATGTCTTTTTTTGAAACACAAAAGACGATTTTGAATGTCTTGAATTTTGGAATTGGATAGTTTCTAGTATTGCTCAAAATATCGTCTTTCTAGACAAAGAGGTTTGAAATGACAAGAGTGAGAAAATTATGACAGTTAATTATGAAAATTTTCATTTTTAGATGAACAAAGACCTCTTGAAATTTCTTGACCAGCACAGTTTTCTAATGGTACATGAAATCCAGGGTGGGATGTATCAAAAGATTTGCTTTCTTTACTCACATTTTCATTCTAGAGAGCATCTGATTGGACACAAATATGCATAGTAATCGAGTTCTTGAGAAAATCACTATTATTCTTAAACATTTATATGTTATAAATACTCATTTTTTACAAATATTTATAGCCAGTCTCTCAAAAATCTGTTTGTGCAAAACCATTCACAAATTCTCCACATCTTTCACATCCTTTGTTTACTAATTACTTTGGTGCATTTAAAAAGGTTTTGAGCTGCAAAGCATTGTTAGCACAGAATTTTGCAGATTCCCCCCAAAAACTAATGCAGAAATTGTGAAAATAGTCCACCGATTCTCCAAGCTGATTTCCCATGGGGTCTTAAATTTAGCCTTTGACGGTTGTGTTGTGCTTTTTGTTGTGCTGTAGGGTTTCTTAATTTCAGCAACCATTTTCATTGTTGTTAAAATCATATCGCAGGTCTACGTATCATATCTAACCTGGACGAGGTGGCGTTTATCCAGAACCTGGTGTTCTACATCGAGGCAGCCTACAAAGTGGCCGTAAGTTCTCACTGGTTTAACAGGAGGTTATACTGTATACCTGAGCTGAACTTGGATCACAGTCCTGTTATTTTCCCCCTGCAGGATTATGGGATGTGGGAGAGAGGCGACAAGACCAATCAGGGAATTCCTGAACTAAATGGCAGCTCTGTCGGAATGGCTAAGGTGGGAGGGCCATCTGTTCTCGTTTAGTCTCTATGTTCATTCAGAAGTTGATTTTAATTTAGTTTGCTGTTCATGTTTTCAGGCAGCTTTGGAGGCCATTGATGAGCTCGACTTGTTTGGAGCTCACGGAGGCCCAAAATCGGTCATTCATGTTCTCCCAGATGAAGTAGAACACTGTCAGGTAAAATTAATCAGAGTTCTTAGTTAGTTATTATTTTACAGACCATTTTACAGTGCGTCATATATCAAAGTAGATCATAGAAGCCATCGGCACTAATGGTCTCTATGATCTCCTTAGGCTTTGGTTCTGGTTTTGGGAGATTTGGGAGGAGTCAAACATTTAGTTTCTCATTGTGTTTCTAGTCTATCTTGTGCTCCATGCTGCCTCGAGCTTCCACCTCTAAAGAGATAGATGCTGGTCTGCTCTCTGTGATCTCCTTTCCTGCATTTGCAGTGGAGGATGCAGATCTGGCCAACATCACCAAGGGTGAAATCATCACAAAGCTGCAGGTACTGTGGCGAAAAAACAATCCATCTTAAGTTATCTAATAATGGACCATTTTTATGGGCGATAATGGGGCGATAATGTGTGAGAGAGTGCAATTCTTTAGTTAATTTTATAGTTAACTGAACCGGGGATTAAAAATGGCAATTTTAATGGGTTTCAATGGGGACATTTTTGTCCAAAAGGTGCTGAGAGGGAGTATTTTTTTGTACCTAATGCAAAAAATATTTTTTTAAGAGAATGACGGTGGAATAGTAAAATTCCAATAAAAATACACACCTGTGCCAATTTTTTTGCCGTTAGCTTTAACACAGACAAAGTGATAAAAAAAAACAACAAAACTGAAAAGGACAAAAATGTCTATAAGGATGCACAAGGGTTAAGCATATTTTAATAATTTTAGGGACGGTACGGCTGTTGCCGATTTATCCGAGATGGATACAGGACCCCAAAAGAGGTAAGCAGATTTTCCACAAAATAAGTATTTTGTGGCTAGTTCTCTAATTAATGTGACTGTATTTTTATGGTTGTGCTAGGACCCCACTCGACTTCACTATGACCCAGCTGAGCTGAAGCTCTTTGAGAACATTGAATGTGAGTGGCCAGTGTTTTGGACTTACCTTATTCTTGATGGCATCTTTAATGAGGACCATGAACAGGTATGAACAGGCTATCCTGTAAACCATCTTTAGTAAATCTAATGAATGAGAATTATGGCCACTTACTGCGTAGTAATGATTGACGGCTGTGTCATTCCTCATAGGTGCAGGAATACAGAGAGGCTCTTGATGAAGTTTTGATCAGGGGAAAACACGGGATTCGTCTGATGCCTGAACTCTACGCTGTACCTGCTGACAAAGTAAGTTTCTTATTTATTTATTTATTTCAACTTGAGTTTCAACTTTTTAGAACTAGTTTAGTTACTCATATCAGGACCATGCACATTTTCTAAATGTCTGATTTTCATGTGCAACAAATTATCATTTATCATACTGAGCTGTCATACATAATTATTATGTCAAAATATTTTTACAACATTTTTTTTTATTTTATAATTTTACTGTGTAAAGATGCAGTTGTGCTTGAAATCTGAAAAGTAATTCAAATTGTATTTGTGTTTGCACTCTGGTCAGTAACTGACAAAAAAACAATTCTGGGTAAAATGTTTTGATCTGTTGCTCATCTGTGCGTTTGTTTCCTGTTCAGATTGAGGAGGAGTATAGGAATCCTCACTCTGTGGAGCGTGTGGCCGCTGGACAGCTCCCGCATATGTGGGGCCAGTCACTGTATATCCTGGGCAGTCTGCTGGTTGAGGTACTGAAGCCTGGAATGACTGGATCTGCTTCCATATTAAACATATATAACATGCTACCTTTTGCACATGTCAGTCATGACAAGTCTCTGAGTAGTTTTGGCATGGAAATGAATATGGAGATGACGATTTTAATATATTTGGTTTTGGTGAACTAGACCTTTTACTGTTATTTGACAAATTATTTGTTTTTATCAGGGATTCCTGGCCCCTGGAGAGATTGATCCTCTTAATAGACGATTTTCTAAAGAATTCAAGCCAGATGTTGTTGTGCAAGGTTTGTGAATATTATTTCCTATTTTATAGTGAATATTGACAGTTATGCAGTACTTATCAAGACACAGACCAATTTGTGCAGTTTCTTAAATTGTGTAGAAGTTGTGTACCTGTTATTACCTTTTAAACGGCTGTAATTTAGGGGGATAGTACTGTATATACCATGTTTTTTTAGTTTAAAAAAAAATGTAATTACTTGCTTACGCTATAATTTGCTGAACAGAGAAAATTGACCTTTTGCTATCCGCTCTATTTGTTCTGTTTAGTTAGTGTAGTTGCCGAGTCAGTGCAGATCCAGCAGCTTCTGAGGGATCATGGGATTGAGGTTCAGACTGTCTCTGAGGTTTTGCCCATCCGGGTCATGCCAGCTCGCATCCTGAGCCACATTTATGTGAAACTGGGTAAGTGTTCAGATCTACCATGACTAACAGGACAAAGCTAGATGGAGTAAACGACTGCATCTGTAGAATTGCTGTAAGAAGAAGGTATTTAAAGGGATACTCCACTTTTTTTGGAAAAAGGCTCATTTTACATCTCCCCCAGTGTTAAACGGTTGAGTTTTACCGTTTTCGAAACCATTCAGCCGATTTTCTGATATTTAATTAGAAGAATATCAGTAACTAGACAGTTTCTGGTTCCATTGACTTCCATGGTATACTAAATATCAGAAAATCGCCTGAATGGATTCGAAAACGGTCAAACCAAACTGTTTAACTCTGAGGGAGTTGTAAAATGAGCCTATTTCCAAAAAAATTGGAAATATAAAATTAAATTAAAACTATTTCCTTTCTCCATTACATAGGTCACTATAAAAAACTGAATCTGAGCGGGCGACCGTACAGGCACATCGGTGTCCTGGGAACTTCAAAGTTTTATGTGATCAGAAATGGTACTTACACATTCACTCCACAGGTAAACATGAGTTATCTCACATGGCAGGAAATCTATTATTAGTAGAAGACCTACTGCACAGTCATGCATGTACTGTAAAGTCTAATAAAGTCTTTTTTTTCTTATAGTTCATTGACCAGCATCACTTCTACTTGGCCTTGGATAACCAGATGATTGTAGAGATGTTGCGGACAGAGCTTGCTTACCTCTCTTCCTGCTGGCGGATGACTGGAAGACCGACCCTCACGTTCCCCATCACACAGAGCATGCTGGGTAGAACATCTTCTTGTTGCTATCCTCAGAACATATTGTTACAATCTGCAAAAAAAAAAAAAAATGATATTAACAGATTCTTTGTTTTCATTATTGGCTAAGTTGAAGATGGTGACAGTGTTGACCCCTGCATTCTGTCCACCTTGCGGAAGCTTCAAGATGGCTACTTTGCGGGAGCAAGGTCAGACAGTTTGAGACAATAATAGCAAAAAGAGATTTGTATAGTATGATGTTTAAGGAACAGATGTGGTTAATTTCAAATCCCCCGTGCTCTTTAGGGTGCAGATGGCAAACCTCTCCTCGTTCCTCACCACCTCCTTCCACACCCAACTCAGCTTCTTGGATGCCGACTCTGAAGAGGAGCTGCTAGAGGAGTATGAGGAGGAAGAGGAAGAGAGTTTTGGGCCCTCAGGTATCCCTACCGACTCACACACAAAAGCTTTGTGAAGAATCTGTCCCTCATACCTCTGAATTACCATTGTATTAGAAAGACTCACAAAGCAAGCTGAATTCCTTTTTTGTAAAAAACTTGAACACATTTGCGATGTCGATAACTGTGGAAATGCGTCATTTCAGTCTGTGAAAAGATTCCATTGTTAATTCAAACTATTAAAGCTAAAATAAAATATAAATTCCATGAAAAACCTAAACTTAAAAAATGAAAAATCTTGTTCTATTACCTGCCCCAGATAATGTATTGTCATTATGTTTTGTGAAAAAATTTGAATAAACAAAAATTAAAAAAAAATAATACATAAGTTGTTTTGATCTGAAATAAATAAGTTCTAAAATGAATAAATCTGCAGCTTAAAAGCTAAATTGAAAAAAGCACATAACAAAATATATATGTAAAATGAAACTATAAAGTAAAAGCTAATTCAAAATATTAATAAATGGTATAATACAATAGTATATAATACTAAAATAATACTGCATATAGTTTATCCACTGATTGTAGAGCAATTTAAAACATTTATTTTTACATTTTACCTATAAGCTCGCTTAGATAATCACCTTTTTTTATTTTTTAACAATAATTTAATAATTTAACACTGATAAAGCTTTAGCAAATCTCAAAGTGAATATTCCTTTTTAATACTGTACATTATACTGTTAACATTTAACTGCCTAAATGAACATTTTATTTATTTTCTAATATTGAATTTGTCTTTTATTTCTTGCAGGAGGTGCAGTAGACAGGTTTGACCAGTATCTCACAGATCTTTTGCACAGCACTGCCACAAAATGCCATCTACCTCCCATCCAGAGGGGGCAGCACCATGTTTTCAGTGCTGAACACACCACCAGGGACATCCTTTCTTTCATGGCCCAGGTTCAGGGCCACAACATGCCCAGTAAGCCCTCAAGATGGGTCTTTATTTGTAAAGTTGATTCCATGCTTTCTTTCAGTGAAAGACTAGCTGTCTCCTTATATGATGTGCTTTTCAGAGCCTTCCATGTATTTGCCTGTTGCCCCTATCATGAGCAAACACAGGAAGTCTCTGAACCTGCTGGATGTTACTCAGCACAATGTTTCTCATCACACCAAGGCAAGATCACACACTCAAGCAAGCATAAAGTGAAGAGAATTAAATGAATGCACATAGTTTTGATGTGTATGTGGTTTTATCTGCAAACACTCTAGGCTGATAGCGTTGACCTGCACTTGCCACATGATTCTCTTGGGAACACAGACTTTGCCTATCTGGTCAATCAGCTGAAGCAATGTCCAACCCTTCAGGACCAGGCGGATATCCTCTATGTCCTCTATGCTATGAAGTGAGACCATACATACAATTCAACTGTGCATTCTAATATTTTGTTATTTAACACAGCCATTTTAATTGAAATCGGTTATTAAATCATTCTCTTTGTGTGTGTTTAGGGGTCCGGATTGGGTGGTAAATCTGTCAGGACAAGGTGATGCGTCGGTTCGTTCTCTTCTCGAGGAGCTTTATGTTCGGGCGGGAGCGTGTAAGGAATGGGGCCTCATCCGCTACATCTCAGGCATCCTGAAGAAGAGGGTGGAAGTCCTTGCTGAAGTGAGACCCAATGTTAATCAATGCATTTTTGACAACTACAGGCACTTTTATGTTTCATGTGTCGAAAAAGGAAAATAAAAATAATAATAACAAAAGAATATATATATATATATATATATATATATATATATATATATATATATATTTAAAGCACATATACACACACACACACACACACATATATATATATATATATATATAGAGATAGAGAGAGAGAGAGAGAGAGAGAGAGAGAGAGAGAGAGAGAGAGAGAGAGTCAAACATGAGATACTGGTCAAACATGTCTCCTGCACCTCCTGCAAGAAATAAAAGACAAATTAATTAATAAAATAAAATAAAAAAATGTTAATTTAGGCAGTTAAATGTTATGTGTAAAATGTACAGTATTAAAAGGAATATTCACTTTGAGATTTGCTCAAAGTTACGTTTATCAGTGTTAAATTATTAAATTATTGTTAAAAAATTGTGATTATCTAAGTGAAGGTAAAATGTAGAATAAATGTTTTAAAATGCTCTAAAATCAGTGGATAAATGATATGCAGTAAATATCTATATATAAATATATATGTGTGTGTGTGATAGGGAGAGAGAGAGAGAGAGAGAGAGAGAGAGAGAGAGAGAGAGAGATTAAAATAAACAGATTTAAAATTGACTTTTTTTACTTTTTTCACACTATAATTGAAAGTTTGGGTTTGGTAAGATTGTTTTTTTTTTTTTTTTTAATAAAGAAGTCTCTTCATAGCTGCATTTATTTAATCAAAAATACAGTAATATTGTGAAATATTCTTGCAATTTAAAATAACTGTTTTAATATATTTTTATAATGTAATTTATTCCTGTGATGGCAAAGATGAATTTTTAGCATTACTACTCCAGTCTGTAGTGTCACATGTTCCTTCAGAAATCATTCTAATATGCTGATCTGCTGCTCGAGAATTATTGTTATTATCATTATTATCAATGCTCAAAACAGTTGTGCTGCCTAAAGTTGCTACGGAAACCATGATACAATTTTTTTCACGATTTCTTGATGATTAGAAAGTTCAAATTAACTGCTTTTATCTACTACTAACTACTATCTTGGAAACGTTTCCCCTAATTTATTCATCATTTGTTTTTACTACTTTTTCAGACTCAAATTTTAATCCTAAACTATGAAATTATACCATAAAAAAAATAAATGATTCGATTTTTAAAACATAAATAAAAACGAAATAATCTAAACAAAGTATAAAATTGGGAGTTTGACCTTCAGTGGCATTATTTTCACCATAACAGTTTTTTGTTGTATGTTTGTTTATATGCACACAGGCCTGTACAGATCTGATCTCCCATCATAAACAGCTAACAGTGGGTCTTCCTCCCGAGCCCAGAGAGAAGGTCATCACAGTGTAAGTGACTTAAGTTGAATGTAGTCATTTTAGATGTTGATTTTTAAATCGTTTTTACTTAACCAATTCTCTTATTTATAGTCCTCTTCCTCCTGAGGAACTGATTAGCCTGATCTATGAGGCCAGTGGACAAGACATCAGCATTGCAGTACTCACACAGGTAGCACTAATTATAAGCCCTGAAGTAGTGTTGCTTTTTTTCCCCTCATTTCACTTATTAAACTTCTGAATTCAGGAGATCATGGCGTATCTGGCCATGTATGTGCGCTCTCAGCCATCTCTATTCGGAGATATGTTGCGTCTGCGCATCGGGCTCATCATGCAAGTGATGGCTACAGAACTTGCACGCAGTCTACACTGCTCAGGTACAACCAATCAGACAATGCAAATCCTTCCTGTAAATTCACTGCAATGAACCTGTCCTCATGACCTCTACAGGTGAGGAGGCGTCCGAGAGCCTGATGAGCCTCAGTCCGTTTGACATGAAGAACCTCTTACATCACATCCTGAGCGGGAAAGAGTTTGGTGTAGAGAGGAGCAGTGAGTATTATTCAACCTTAGTTTTCATGCTATTTACTCCAGCAAATATTTCTGCTGGTCTGTTCCTTAATAATTTCCCTGTATCGTGTGAAAGTGCGTCCTATTCAGTCTTCGGCTACAAGTCCTGCCATCTCCATCCATGAGCTCGGACACACGGGGGCCACCAAGACGGAGCGAACGGGCATCAGAAAACTCAAGACTGAAATCAAACAGGTTGAGTGAAATAATTTGTTTCATAAATGATGATATATTTACCCTGCCCTTTAAGATGTTATAAACTGATTTCTTTACTAGTGTATGTTAGACAGTTACCTACGGAAGCGCATTGCATTCACTTGAGGAAACAACATCTACTCTGTTTTTCTGAATTAACGAGTTAATTATCTCAGAATTACGAGATAATTTTTCATGGAAAAAAGTTTTTGCTCTGTTTTTCTGAATTAATGACAAAAAAATATGAGCAAAACTCATTAATTCATAAAAGAACTCTTTATTCAAGAAAAATATATCTCATAATTCTGAGTCATTCATTCAGAAAAACAGAGCAAAAACCTTTTTTCCATGAAAAATGATCTCGTAATTATGAAAAATGTTTATTATCTCTCGCTACAAATAAATGTGACTTGACTTGACTTTCATTAAATAACATTTATATTATTTTGTTTTCAGCTCGATGACTCCAGACCCATAAGCGTGGGTTGAGTTTGTAAATTGTTTTGTTTGTTTTTTTCAGGCATGCTGTGCAAATACTTTAGATTGGTTTTTATGTGTGCAGAGCCATTCTGTCTAGATGTCACAGCACATTTGTCAAACCATGAAAATTCAGAGTAATGTTCAGTTTGCCCATATCATACACATCTTGAAGCATCTTTTTGACTGTGAGCCTCTCTTTATGATGCCTCAAATGTTCATTCGTCTGAAATACTTTCAATGCTTATGTTCATTATAAATGTTTGTATGTTCTGCTTTTGTCCTCATAGATCTTTACCAGCAGTCATTCCATCAGCAGTAATTTCACATCCCCACGTTCCACGGTAACTCAAAAAAACAAAAAAACTCTCCGTTAACTCCCTCTCTCCACTGTTAAATACTTTTCCCTCCTATATATATATATGTATATGTATATATTAGGGCTGTGCAAAAGTTAATTGCGATTAATCGCATCCAAAATAAAAGTCTGTGTTTACATAGTATATTTGTGTGTGCTGTATATAATTATTTTGTATATATAAATACACACACATGCATGTATATGTTTAAGAAAATGTGTTATTCCTATATAAAATATTTATATTTATATAATGTAGATTATGTATTTATTTATATATACAGAATTCAAGCGCAAATAATTCTTAAATATATACATGCATGCATAGGTATTTATATATAAAAAATAATTATATACAGCACACTCAAATATATTATGTAAAACAGACTTTTATTTTGGATGCGATTAATCGCAATTAACTTTTGCACAGCCCTAGTATATATATATATATTAGGGCTTTCAAACAATTAATTGCGATTAATCGCATCCAAAATAAAAGTTTGTGTTTACATAATATATGTGGGTGCACTGTGTATAATTATATATATATATATATATATATATATTAGGGCTGTGCAAAAATGAATTGCGATTAATCGCATCCAAAATAAAAGTGTTTACATAATATACACTCACCGGCCACTTTATTAGGTACACCTGTCCAACTGCTCGTTAACACTTAATTTCTAAGCAGCCAATCACATGGCGGCAACTCAGTGCATTTAGGCATGTAGACATGGTCAAGACAATCTCCTGCAGTTCAAACCGAGCATCAGTATGGGGAAGAAAGGTGATTTGAGTGACTTTGAACGTGGCATGATTGTTGGTGCCAGAAGGGCTGGTCTGAGTATTTCAGAATCTGCTAATCTACTGGGATTTTCACGCACAACCATCTCTAGGGTTTACAGAGAATGGTCCGAAAAAGAAAAAACATCCAGTGAGCGGCAGTTCTGTGGGCGGAAATGCCTTGTTGATGCCAGAGGTCAGAGGAGAATGGCCAGACTGGATCGAGCTGATAGAAGGGCAACAGTGACTCAAATAACCACTCGTTACAACCAAGGTGGGCAGAAGAGCATCTCTGAACGCACAGTACGTTGAACTTTGAGGCAGATGGGCTACAGCAGCAGAAGACCACACCGGGTGCCACTCCTTTCAGCTAAGAACAGGAAACTGAGGCTACAATTTGCACAAGCTCATCGAAATTGGACAATAGAAGATTGGAAAAACGTTGCCTGGTCTGATGAGTCTCGATTTCTGCTGCGACATTCGGATGGTAGGGTCCGAATTTGGCGTCTACAACATGAAAGCATGGATGCATCCTGCCTTGTATCAACGGTTCAGGCTGGTGGTGGTGGTGTCATGGTGTGGGGAATATTTTCTTGGCACTCTTTGGGCCCCTTGGTACCAATTGAGCATCGTTGCAACTCCACAGCCTACCTGAGTATTGTTGCTGACCATGTCCATCCCTTTATGACCACAATGTACCCAACTTCTGATGGCTACTTTCAGCAGGATAATGCGCCATGTCATAAAGCTGGAATCATCTCAGACTGGTTTCTTGAACATGACAATGAGTTCGCTGGACTCAAATGGCCTCCACAGTCACCAGATCTCAATCCAATAGAGCATCTTTGGGATGTGGTGGAACGGGAGATTCGCATCATGGATGTGCAGCCGACAAATCTGCGGCAACTGTGTGATGCCATCATGTCAATATGGACCAAACTCCCTGAGGAATGCTTCCAGCACCTTGTTGAATCTATGCCACGAAGAATTGAGGCAGTTCTGAAGGCAAAAGGGGGTCCAACCCGTTACTAACATGGGGTACCTAATAAAGTGGCCGGTGAGTGTATGTGTGTATGCTGTGTAGAATTATTTTGTATATATAAATACATATGCATGGATGTCTATATTTAAGAATTATTTCCATGTAAATACTGTATATATGTCAATACATAATCTATATTATATACAAATATACATATTTAATATATGAATAACACATTTTCTTAAATATATACATGTAAGTGTGTGTATTTATATATACAAAATAATTATAAACAGCACACACACATATATTATATAAACACAAACTTTTGTTTTGGATGCGATTAATCGCAATTAATCTTTGCACAGCCCTAATATATATATATATATATATATATATATATATATATATATATATATAATTTTTTAATTTATTTGATTTTTTTTTTCAGTGCTTCAGATTAGTTATCCGAGTTGAAATGGGACAAACTTCCAGCCATAACAGCAAATTAACATCTGTAATATGCATCAACATTCAGTCTTGTCTTGTTGTGGTCATTTCACTCACTTAGCATGGGCTGACATTATGACATCCTTAGCTATGTTTGTCCTAGTTCTTGCTTACTAAACCTTAAGCATGTGTTTTAACCATGTGACAGTATATGTGGTAAATAGAGATGTCACTTTTAAACCGGCGGCCCACATTGTTAGCTCTGCCTTTGTACATATACTGATAATGGAAATGTATGCGTGTCTGTAGCGATGCAGCAGCCCCTCCACTCCCAGTGGGATCCTGTCTCCGACCGGTACAGGCGACTCACACCTGCAGTGGGAGGAGCGCCAGGGCCAGTGGCTGAGGAGACGCAGATTAGATGGGGCCATTAACCGGGTGCCCATGGGCTTCTACCAAAAAGTTTGGAAGATTCTCCAGAAATGTCACGGCCTCTCTATTGCCGGATACGTCTTGCCTTCCTCCACCACCAGTGAGGTGCATACGCCTGCACACACATACACACACACTATAATGTACTGAGCCTCTTAACTACTGTTCAATGATTTGGGGGTCAGGGGACCTGTTATGCACATTTTTACAAGATGTAATATAAGTCTCAGGTGTCCCTAGAATGTGTCTGTGAAGTTTCAGCTCAAAATACCCCACAGATAATTTATCATATCATGTTTGAGTGGACTATTAGATCTGTGTATTAAAGTGAAGGCAGCGTAATACACAATACCTTCTGCTATAGATGCTGTTAATATAAATCAATCAAACCAAAGAAAAACAGAAAACCACTCACTGCTCTTGATTGAATAACTTTAGTAGCTTTAATAAGAATACATTTCTCACTTGAATGCTTGACTGTACAGCTCATTCAAGGCAGGGTCTATGCTAATAGGGTAGTCATGGGCGGGGCCTAAACATTTGTGATGTCACATTGCAAACAAAACTGCAAATGGCTTGTTCTGAGACACTTCCTATGATTTATGTGGATAAAAAAAGGAGTGGGTGGATTTTTACCATTACAGGGTGGTTGTGTACACACACTGCCGACACACATTTATGTTCAAATACCATGTAAAAGTGAATTTTGCATAATAGGTCCCCTTTAATTAATACTTTTATTCAGCAAGTGTGCATTAAATTGTTTAAAATGACAGTAAAGACATTTATAATGTAATGTTACAAAAAGTTTCTGTTTCTAATAAATGCTGTTCTTTTGCACTTTCAAAAGCATCACAGTTTCCACAAAAATATTAAGCATTTTCAACATTTTTTTTTTATTTACTCCAAATGTTTTTATTGGTTTTAATGACAATACAAAATAACACATCATAAACGGTAGACGGTAAAATATTGTCCATTATTTATGCCTTGATATGGAAAAAATAAAAAAATTAAATAGAATAAAAAGAAATAAGTAAAAAAAAATATAAAAAATATTATAATAATAAAACATTAAATTAAAATAATGTGAATTGAAAAATATTACATATGGAAATGTTTCTGTGGTATAATAAAACAGGTATAATAAATCTGTGGTTTCTGTGGCCATCACAGGAATATATTAAATTTTTAAAATACATTCAAATAGAAACCGGTTGTTTTAAATAAAATAATGTCTCACAATATGACAAAAGAGATTTATTTCATAAACATCGAACCAACTCAAACCATTGAACAGTATTCATATATTTATTTTATTTTAGATTGCTATATTATATTGAAACATGAATCTGGATTTTTTTTTCTTGAAATACCCTTAACTGTGTGTATGTTGTCTGTTGTCTGTGTGTATTATTGTAGATGACAGAGGGAGAGATTAAGTTTGCAGTGCACGTGGAGTCTGTACTGAATCATGTCCCGCAGCCCGAGTACAGACAGCTGCTGGTGGAGGCCATTATGGTGCTGATGCTTGTGGCCGACATGGAGATTCCCAGTATTGGTGGAATTATTCACATCGACCGCATTGTCCACATGGCCAATGATCTCTTTCAGCAGGATCAGGTATCATCATACTTATATATATATATATATGTGTGTAATCATAAGATGCTCATTATAAGCTGTTTGGTTTGTTCACATGTATGTACACACCTGAAAGGAGTTCTGAAAGGGGTAGTTCACTTTTAAAAAAACTTTTTTTGGTCATTTACTCGCCCCCATGTCATCCAAGATTGAAAATAAATTAAGGTTTTTGATGAAAACATTCCAGGATTTTCTCCATATAATGAACTTCATTGGGAACCAAATGGTTACGTTCAAGGTCCAAATGAGAGTTTCAGCGCAAACTGTTCAAAGGGCTTTAAACGACTCCAGACGATAAATAAGGGTCTTATCTAGGACCCTTCGAGTCATGACTCGAAAAAAGATTTGTTCATTTTGATGAATGAGTTTGAACAGGAGAGTCACAAAAGCTCATCGCAGAACCTCAAATGTTCAAGGCGAGCATTTGTGCTTATAAAACGTAAACTTTTTTATTTATTTTTTAAATGAGCGATCGTTTCGCTAGATAAGACCCTTATTCATCGTCTGGTGTCGTTTAAAGCCCTTTGAAGCTGCGCTGAAACTCTCATTTGGATCTTGAACCGTTTGGTTCCCATTGAAGTCCATTATATGGAGAAAATCCTGGAATGTTTTCATCAAAAACCTTAATTTCTTTTCGACTGAAGAAAGAAAGACATGGACATCTTGGATGACATGGGGGTGAGTAAATTATCAGCAAAAGTTTTTTTTTAAAGTGAACTCCCTCAAACACCATGATTGTAGTCTTGAGTTTTCTTCTGGGAATGTACACTTCACAATATTCCTCATTTAAATGATTCCCGCCCAAAGCATATGCAAAAAAGGGGGCGAGGCCTGTTTAATTTGCGTTTGTAGTTTGTTGAAAGTTGCGGTTATGGTAAGGCGTGCAACATTTACGAAAACACACTGAAAGCAGTTGACCAATCACAGTCCAGCCAACCAGATCAGAGTAAATTATGCTTTTCGGAAGGATGAGCTTCATAGAGAGAGGAACTAAACAGAGCATTACTGACAGACTGGGAAGAGAGGTGCTGCAACAATGTAAACTATGTGGAAAAATAATGGGTTTTTTTGAACATTCAAGCATGAAAACCTATTCTGGAAGTCCACAAAAGCAAAATCAAAACTTGACAATGGCTTAATAGCCCCCCTTAATGTCATCAAAACTGTGAAATAACGCAAATAGACTTTATTTACTGATGAAAAATGTTAAACACTTACATCAAAGTGGCCTTCTTTTGTCTAGATTCCAGATTTACAATCAGGTCACTGTTGCATATGTGTTTTTATTACAGAGATCCAATGGAGCAAATGAGTATTTCTTGGAGAAAGATCCTGCCACAGGAATCTGCAACTTCTTTTATGACAGTGCTCCTAGCGGCAGCTATGGTACGATGACTTATCTTTCCAAGGCTGTGGTCACATATGTTCAAGACTTCCTGCCAAGCAGCAGCTGTCTAATGCAGTAACGACTGCAGTTCCCAGAAAATCTGTGACCTTCTGGACTGATCGTTGAACGGTTTCATTTAATCTAACAGTGAGAAGGTTCGGTAGCAAAGGACAAGCATCCACAGGGAAGCCACTAAAATATCACAGGTTTTAAAACAAAAAGACTGTAGGAAATGGACCACTGTGCTGTTCTGTGTTTGAAGTATACAATTATATTTATGAACTTTAAAATGCAAATAACTCTAAAATAATTAATATATAATTCTATAAAATCTGGACATTTTAAGTAGTCTATATTTTTTGTTTGGTTGGCTAACTAATGTTATTTTATCATTTTATGTTCATAGAAATGTGTTTTATTTTATTTCAAATTGAATGTCTATATGCCAGTTCTAGTGATCTTTACTCAGTGTTGTATTACTGTAAGCTTTGATACTTGTGTTTTCCTCCTAACAATATCTTATAACTTATTACATTATAAAAGTACTGTGTAATCTGTTATTTAAACTGGTTCTTTTTATTCAAAGAATCATACAGTAAACATACAGACATTACCAAATGTAATACCTCTGAGAATCATGTAAAAGAAAATGAAATTATAGTCTGTTCTTTTCATGTTTCTAACTCATTGTAAAGCCTAGCTAGTGCAATTCAAGCACTTTTTTTATTTTGCACGGGCAAATTAGACATTTGAATCATTATTTAGTGAACTGAACAGGTTAATACATGGGTGCATGTTACAAATCTATTTTTATTCATTTTATGGGGGGCAGGTAATTGAGAAAATCAAGATAAATATGATGGATCAATTAATTTCATTTGCGAAAAATGTTTTAGGTTTTGTTGTATGTTTCGATCTGTGACATTTGAAAAGCAAAAGGGGCATTTGGAATTTTTTTTTTTCTTTTTTTTTCACTCACACCCATATGTGTGAGTTTTGGCTGACTGGCTAATGTTTATGTAAAATGAATACTTTTGAAGGAAGGTACTGTATTTTAGCCGCCATTAAGCATTTGAATGACAACACATAAATTAAATTGAATTATTTAATTAACCATGACTTCCTGGCTGTATGTTGTGGATTTTTCTGGTTATAATCTATGCTATGTATTGTCGGACACTTTTTAAAAGTAATTAGGAATATTCTCAGTTAAAAGTAGACATTTACAGTTATTTTAAAACAGGGGCGTTTATAGGTTTTAAAAACATGAGGGGCTGGGGTGGGTAATAAGATAACATGATTCGATACAGAGAATAATGTATATTGCAGGCCTATATGCGGGGGCAGACTGTTTAAGAAAAAAACATCCCTGGCACTATAACCACACCAGCCCACGTTACCTCACAGTCACACACATGCAAAGGTGAGGTAGTTAAGGGGGTTCAGGGGCAACCCCCGAGAAAATTTAGATTTCTCATACCTACATTTGTGCATTTTAAGGTGTTTGAAGTTCATAAAAATGATATAACAATAGCTTTAAAAGCATGTCAGTGGGCAGTAGCATAAAGATTCTTAAATATGAGAATGAGGATGTTGAAATAAACGATCCACGCTTGGATGCAAATGCAGAATGTTTCTGCTTATTGTTGGCAATCCACAATCACATATTCCAAATAGGAATGGCCTTAATGGGAACTCTTTCAAGGATTATTTTACATAGATGTTATTTCAATCAAACACCAGTGCAATCTTTTGTGTCCAGAGGAAAAGGAGCAATTTATATATTTGCATTAAATATTGGCATTATATTTCAGCAACTAGTTTCTTTCTAAGGTTAGCTAATCAATATTTTTGGCACTAATCTGTTAAGTGCACTCATAAAAACAGTCACTTGTCGCCACCTACTGGCTTAATAATGCAAGTTGGGCAAACACAGACAAGCGGAGTGATACAAACGGTGAAAAGGCTGATAAAGGTGAAATATTCGAACACATTTGAGGACCATACAAATATATATTGTAACAGTCTTGGCCTGTCAGTCACATTAAGTCAATTTTACATTACATGATTTTAAGCCCGATTTGCAAATCGTTGAGCTCGCTGGCAGGTCAGGGTGTTGGGTGTTCTCGCGTGCAAATCGCGCGGGATTAGCGGACGATGAACGCTTGCCAATCTGTTAGAGCCAACAACGCAGCGCAGACGCGTCGCCGAGCCCAGAAAAATATAATAATAATAATAATAATAATGTCATGAGTACAGCCAATCGTAGCAACGCATGGGTTGAGGTCACCAGGTAAATATAAGTTTTTCTTTCTTTTTGCATTGTTTTCTCAGAGCAAATCATCGCGCAAACGGTATGCGTGTTGTGTTCTCTTCTTCGCTATTGCGCACGTGCTGTTTCGCGTCATTTCTGGTTCGTTTTATTGCGTGGTTTTTCGTTTGTAGACGAGATAGAATCGTTGGGTGACAGAGTTGTTGTTAACTTCTTATTTATTTGATTATTTTCAGGATTTAGACCGTACCATAACGGTACTGAAACAGCTCACAAATGATTTGCTCTTAATCATCCGATCGTGGTTGGATCCAGAGAATGTCGGATCTCTATGTAACGTTAGTGCGTTGTCAGTGTGTGAGTTACCTCCACTGATCTATGGAGAATGAGGAGTCACGTGCCTATTTGGGCGGGGTCTGAGCCATTCGGCCATGATGGTAGGTGATGCTATCGGTTACCAGGGTTTTTATCGGTTTTAACGCAGCAGTTACTTCCAGGCATGGTAAAACAGTGCGGTATTGCGAGGAACTCCTCTACTACCGAGCTAAAAACACACGTAATCAATACTGTTTTGTCGTGGGAATCCTACCAACAAGCGGAAAGGGGAGGGGCACTGTAAATGACGTCAACTCCTCATTCTCAATATAATGAATCATTCTATATAGACCATTTCACAAGATGTAAACAACACTGGTCCAGAAGCACTTCCTGTTTCAGTTTTTTAACACTACATAAAAGCTGGGATAAAATACAACCAACAGAACATTTAAAACTGAACCAGAAAGTTAAACAAACATCTTTAAGATGTTTTCTTTACATGTGAAATAAAGAAAACAGTTACAAACTGAAACAGGAAGTGCTTCTGGACCAGTGTTGTTTACATCTTGTGAAATGGTCTATAGATCAGTGGTTACCTCCTGTTGTGTATCAATCACGTTGTGTTGTGTGGTGTGTGAACAGCTGAACAACTTGAACACTCCTTTTACAGAGGGCAAGTCATGTAGTGTGTGGACCGCACAGTTCAGCCCGACGTTTTAATACCATGTAGTGTGAACAAGTTCCTCTGGTATGTAAGGCTTAGACCTGACACTAGGGGGAGGTAGTGTGCTTATTGATCTAGGTCTAGGATATCAGTAAGGCAAAGATAGAAGAAGTTAGATTGTTTTTTTTTTATTGAGAAACCAAGCAAATAAACAAATCAATAACAATGTCAAATCGTATTACAAACTTACAGTGCTTATCCTAGATAAAAAATAAATAAATAAAAAAATAATCCTAAAAGAACAGATTGGTTTGGGGTTTGCTTTTACTGTCTATGGTTTGCTGCAGTAAAATGGTTTGATATGAGGTGCGTATACTGTATTTGACGTCCCCTATAAGAAATAACCTTTGTTATTTTCTACTTATTAGAAATTAGGTATTTATGTGCCTCTGAAGGCGAATAATGTGACATTTCTCTAAAATACTGCAGTAAAATGGTTTGATATGAGGTGCGTATACTGTATGGGCGTATGGGGTGCGTATACCCCTACAAGAACTGACCATTAGTTTTTTCAAAGGCACTTTGTGAATTCACTGTTTATATAATGTAAAGGTGAAATGCCTCCTGACTGCACACAAGTTTGAGTTTTATTATATTTAAGCCACAGAGTAATCCATCTGTTGCCATTTTTATTATCTAAACGTTAAGATGCAGTGTTATGGAATAATGCTTAATTTATTTGCATGACAAAAAAAAAAAAAAAAAGAAGATTAATAATACCCATATGACAAATAAATGTACAAAGTAAATATCACTTGATATTTAGGCCTACTTCTTACACAAGAGGTGATGAAAATGGCAAATTCTTTCACACTTTCATGATTTCACATAAAACCACATAAACTGTGCATTATAATTTCTGAGGCACAATTGTTGCGTTATTAGCATCACGGTTCTTTGACAGAGACATTTAATGAATGTGACGGGGCAGGTCTGAGAAATGTCACCTTTTTCAAGGTAAAGATAAAAATAGGGTGAGAATGCTAACTAACTTGTTTATTCAGATTTTTTTTTCTAGCTTTGAAAAAAATCTACAACAGTTCACAGAATATTTATGTAATCTCCAGCAAATGTTCAACAGTAAATGCAGTCAGGTTGATTCAGTCACATTAAATCATGTAATTTGATTTCAATAAAGCTATACTTTTATGGACTTTTACCTACAGGTCAACACTTGAAACATGTGACAACTTGCCCCAACCTGACAGTTGCTCTTGTATTGAGGTGACGACTAGCACAGTCGCCCCTAAAGGAATTCAGCTTCAGGGATGGGTGTTTTGGGGTGTTGCATTAACAATCCTTGCTTTATAAACATGAGCCTTATCCCTGTATTGAAGCATCTGGATGAACTCATATGTTGCTCCCTGGGTGTTTGCTGTTAGTTATTAACAGTGAGTCTTAAATCCAGGATCGTAATTAACCAGTTGCCAAGATACGTGACACAGAGCTGCTAAACAAATTCTCTTCGTTACAGAGAATGCACCAGAAGGTATTTTGCACCTGGCAGTTTCCTGGTTATAGTTTTACAAAGCTGCAAATAAACAAGATCACCTTTCACATAGTACAGCGGCCCTAATAATTACTGTATGAGCACACTGACAAACTTCGTATATACTGAAGTTTTCTTCCACAAAGCCAATTTGTGTGTGTGTGTGTTTTGATTTTTAGCTGGGAGGGTGAGTCTCTCATGTACACTCAAAGTTCACTCACACATTCTCATTTAATGAATGTGTGTCAGCGAAGAGGCATTATAATACATCAAAGAGCTTCAAAAACTTCTGGGTAGTAAGTAACATTTTGCATTGTTTTTTTAATTTATTTTGTGAGGATTTTTTCCCTGATGTAACATTTGATCTTTTATTGTAATTTTTTGTCAGAATATTACGTATTTTAAAGTTCAGTTCTGTGATATAATTATACAGGCCTACCAGTGGTGGCATTGATAATGGGTAAACAATCAAAAAAAATTGGCTCAATTAAAAAATACACCAGAATGAAAATGTCGGAGATGATAAAAAATGGAAATAATTTTTAAATCCAGTAGATTGTTTGTATACTCACACAAAGAAAATAGATTTAATGTTTGATATCCAGTGATACTAAATACTTTTGCACTTTAAATACACATTAAAAGGTAACAAATGTCAATTTTAAAAAACATGCTTTTTTTAAAAAAGTTGTAAAAATGTCATCTACAAAAAAAAAGAAAAAAAGTCTGTTGCAGGGGCTTTTTTCAGAACTAAAATGTTCTGCTCCATGTATTTATTTATTTTGTCATTTTTGCTTAATGATGTTTAATGATTTAGATGTAGTTCTTTATAGGCTATTAACTATGTTGTCTTATAGAATTGTAGCTTTGTCCAATTTTATTGAAATTATTTGAAAACACACTCCGTCCTTTTCATAAAATGTTTAGCTTGAAAGGTGTGTCTGTGCTTTTTTTTTTTTTTAAACATAAAGTCAATATTTCGATGTTTTAAATATGAAATAAGTGTGTACAAATACGTTTATGGGCAATTTAATGGAGTTACTCTATATGAGAAAAAATACGCATTGCCCTTTAAAATGTATCGTGAATCCAGACATTCCAAGCAACAAACAATGATTCACGAACACCCACGTTATCTGGTCATCTGTCATTCACAGAGACACACCTGAGCCTCCTGGAAACCAGGTGACTTTTTAGCGAACACACTTTTACTGTTTCTTTAGGGCCTGAATCAGAAGTTTAAATCAGATAACAGGAGCTGAAGACTTTAAATGACGGAATAATATATATCTGATCGTTTTCTGTCGTCTTTCAGATAACCTGGACAGTATCTGCTGTGTAACTGCGCGCTCTCGCGCTTCCTGCACGAGGAAGACTCGAGTACTGGACGGATGATTCGGACTGTGTAACCGAACCGGTCAGAACTATGGTCCTCTGGGGTCCCTTAAAGCCTCATAGAGACTACATCGCGAAGGATATAATCTTTGGATTTTGTTAACCAGTTTCGGTTAATCGTCTGTTGGATACCAGAGTGAAACTGTTGCGCAATGGAGTTGACGTGGTGTAGAGCTCAACTGCTCCTATTGGCCACCGCCTGTGTGTCTTCACTGGAAGTTCTGGAACGAGTCGTACACACACCAGAAAACAACGTCATCTGTCCTCAGGTTGATTATTCATTTACTGAAATGAGCTTTTATCAATTGCTTGTTACCCTAACCCTAACCAAGCCTTGTATTCACTTAATTATAAAAATACTAATATAAAATATCAACATCACGGTGGCCTGTTCACAAAACATCATACATCATATTATTTTATATAAAACAGTACATACAAGTAAAAATGTAAATTTGTAAGTAAATAAATAAGGATGAGCAACTTGACGTGAGCTTGGCCCTTGACCAACCATGTCAAACAACATTAATGCAAATGGTAATACAAATATTATTAGAAGATACAGGCAAGCAAGATTTTGATCAGATTATAACCCAAGTTTTTGTTTTTAGGCTCTTTCAAACTGCAGTGTGAGCGATACAGAACCAATCGAGTTCATGATGTGGACTATGGTCGTGCATTTGCGTGTTCTCTGGACGTGACGCCAAAATTGTGCTGTCATGGGAAGCATTGTACGCCATGCTTGTGGAGCAACGTCTCTTTGAGTATTTCTCCAGATCCTGACGATGAAGAGGACAGCGCTATTGTGGAATCAGAAAATGAAGATGAATACAGTGGTAAGTCCTCAAAGTAGCAGCAACTTACAGTTGTTGGTTTACACAAACATATGATTTACATACTCACAGTCTATTCTAATTTCAGGAGAATTGGATTCAAGATGCGTTCCCACACCCAACAACACACCAGAAGGTCGAAGAGTAAGCTTTTGCTCATTCATAACAACATTTTATTTTGAAAAATAATGTCTGAACTCGATTTCATCTTTAATTAAAACCTTTAACGCCTTGCTCACTTTAACAGAACTCTCTCAGTGAAGACCATATCAAGGTAGGCCATTGGTGAACTCAAAATATCTCTTAGTCCTTCATTTTTTTATCATTGCTAATAATGTAAGCAAGCTTAGATTTTCTCACACAGTATGCTTTTGTTGAAAGACTATTGTTTGCCGTGTAGTGCATTGATAAAGCTTGACTCTTTGTCTTTTCTTCATGTAGTTACGATATGCTACAGATCAGCCGAAAAGCAGCAAGAACGCTGCAAGAGATTAGACTTCACAATGACTTCTGCTGGGACTCACAAAATTCTCAATGTGAGTGTCTGTCACCTCCGTGTTCATTTCATCTACACATATCGCTCTCCTCTGTGTTACAGTATTACAAATTCTCAGTAAATAAATAAGCATGAGTAACTTGACCGAATTATTTATTTGTACCAGTAATGATGACAGTGTAGTATTTGAAACTTTTAAATTAATACTTTATTTTATATTTATAAATATTTCTAGCACGCCAGGCAAGTTCAAATTCATGTCAGGTGTGTTGTACATTGTAAAAGTATTCAGTGAACAAATGCAGAATTTTCCGGATAAACCAGATTTAAGCAGTGGTGAAGAAA